TCCAGGGCAAAGGGCTGCCGTGCTCCTTACTCCTGTGGGTTTAAGCTTTTTTTGTCAGTTCTCACTTTTAAGACATTTCCTTATTTTCTGCCAGCTCAACTGGGCATTAACAATATTTTCGAAGTAAACTATGTTTTTCAATCGAAAAAACCCAACCAAACGAAAGAAGACACGCACCAGGAGCACGTCTGGGAAAAGGGTGATGGCCCCAGGTTGGTGCGGAACAGCCACGTATTTCTCTCTCCCCCGAGCCTGTGTGCTTTGGTGGGGAGGGAGGAATGGGGGAGCAGGAGAGGGGCGGGCTCGGCGGGGCGCACTACGGGAGACCGAGCGCCCCCTGCTGGCCTGCCGGAGCCGGTGCCGAGAGAGGGATTTGAAGGGACACGTTTTCGGCTCACAAGGCTGGTCTGTTGCGGCTGGTCAAAATAACAGCGACGACTTGGGGAGTCGGGCCCGGGGGCTTTTCCGTTTCAAAATCTCGGACTCCTTGACTCCTCTCTCTTCCCTCACTTGGCCATAATGGTGGAATTCGAATGAAAAGGAATGTCGCGTAAAGATCACAATATAAAGCTCAACCTGTGAACAAAAGCAAAGCCGTTCACAAGAACACTGCTTTTCTCTTAAGTGTCTTAAAAAACAGGAATATGCAGCTAAAGAAAGCCAGAAAAAAAAAAAAAACCAAGTGAGCATACCGTTTCTAGAATTATATTCACCTTCAGTTTTTCAGAATCCAGAAAACTTATTTCCTCGTCACTAAACAAATAAGCCTCACAAACAGAAGGATGCATTTAAAATATCATTCTGGACGATTGCCAGAGTGAAAGGGTTTGAATTTCTGTCGTCTCCTTAAAAACACAAAATAGAAAAGGTCAGGAGTGAGCACTTCAAAAATTCTATTTTCTGCTCCACTGCAGATATAACAAACAGATTTTCAATATGCAAATAAAGGCTGACTCTCAGGTACAGAAATTCAGACTGGAAGGTGTCCGAACACCCTTCTTAAACTCGAAGTCACGATTTTCCTTCTTCTTTTTTGTAGACACGAAATCTCGCTGTATTGCCTAGGTTCATCTCGAACTCCTGTGCTCAGGCCATCCCCCCGCCTCGGCCTCCCAAAGTGCTGGGATTACAGGAGTGAGTCCAGGCCTAGCGGATTTCCCTTCTTAAGTGAAAGCGCCTCCAGTCGGCACAACATGGTTCTGGTTTCTCAGGCATTTGGAGTCATTGTCCAAAAGACCTTCTGAAAAGTGACCAAGTCCTCGTGTTTTCTGAAGCACACCTTGCGTGTTGTGAGGCAGGGCCAGGGTCGTGTTTAGTTTTGGGCAGGCACACCTCTCCTGGAAGACAGTAACACGACTCTAGGGCGGACTGACGGCGGCCACAGTGCCGTGAAGCCCTGGGCCTGGGCGTGCCTTCCGGCAGCCCCAGCTCCGAGGGGGACGAGCCCCAGCAACCGAGCCCGCGGGCCGCCCTCCCCCCGCCCCGACAGCTCCCGAGGGGAGGCGCACGCACGCGGCCCCTGCGTCTGCGCAGCGGGAGGGGGCGTCGCAGATTGTACGGCCCCGCGGTGGCTGGGAGCGACCGCCGGAGAGGCGGAGGTGTGGCGCTGCCGGCAGGGGTAGACACGGGGGCGGGGCCGCGCCGGGAATAGGCTTCTGAGGGGCGTGACCGCGCCGGGGGCGGGACCATGGGGGCGTGGCCGCGCGGGGAACGGAACTGAGGGCGTGGCCACGCAGGGGGCAGGACTCTGGTGGGTGGGGCCGCGCCAGGGTCCGGCCCAGCACTCCAACCCTTAGTCGTCCGCCAGCCTTGGCATCCCTCCCGGGCAGCCGAGGCCCGCCAGTCAGCAGCGCCGTCTCCGGAGGGCAGGGCCTGGCGACAGGGAGAGGACATTCCAGCGCCGGCCCCTCACTGATTTGGTCCACGCACGCCATGATGCAAAGCTAACGTGAGAATATTAAGAGCCAGTACACACTGCATTGCAAGCGACGCTATTAAAACCGATGCATGACAACACACGTCGACCTATAAAAACACGGCCGAGCGGCGCGGCTGGCGGACGTGGGAGGCATGCTGTACATATTCAGCCCCTCGCTTCCTCTGTCGAGTTTGTCCGTTGTATACTGGTGAGGCTTAGGGTGAGGTTGTCTCGGAGCAGCAACTTATGACTACCAAGAAATATTCCTAAAGACTATGCAACAAATTTAAAACAAAAAGCGCTAGCGACTGGATGCACTTCAAGATGGCGGAAGGAGCGAATACGGTTGCCTCCTTCTCGTCCCAAACGTCCTCTGAAATGTATCAAGACCGGGGGCACCGGGGAGTCATCTAGAGACCACAGATGTGACCTGAAGACACAAAGTAGCTGGGAGGGCGGAGGCCTGCGGGTTCATCAGGTGAGTGTCAGAACTTGCCCGCTCACCGTCACCACCAATTACCCACCTGGCCGCTTTTCTTTTTTTTTTGGGGGGGGGGGGGGGTGTCAAGCCACTTTGCTTTAGGACCATTAAAAAATCACCAGAAAAAAAATTGATCAAACAGGCAAAGTATTTGCTTTTTTATTTTTTAAAATATGCTCTCAAATAACAATATTACATGTGATCCTTTCCACATATTTCCCATTTGCTTCTGGAGATACTGGAGCTAGGCAGGACCACTAATTCCCAGGTAGAAACAAATACGTTTCCCTAATAACGAGGCTCTCAGTGTGCACCCTGCACCTGAGTGACCCGCCTTCTCTAGGCTGAACCGCTTGTTCTGGCAAGGTCACAGTGCCCTCTAATGGTGGCAGCGCAGTTGTGTCCTTTCCCAAGTACAAATTTAGCTTTAAAAAAAATAAATTTGCTGAGTTACACTGCCACATCCTCTCTTAAAAACCAAATTAACCAATGTACCAAAGCACTCTGAGAAAAATTACAATCTGAAGCGTAAAACTGGCCTATCACATTTAGGCTGAGTTTGTGCTTGGAATGAGAATCCCAGAATCCTCTGGAAGGAATGTCATGAGTGCCAAGGTCAGATGCACTTGTGACTGACTGCCCTTCCCCATCCTCCTCTGCTTTCTGGGCTGTGACGGCTTCCTGCATCACTGCCATTGTGTGAACTGCAAGAACCACTGCCACAGGGGTCTGTTGCTGAGCTTTGCAGAGGCCGGCTTGTGCCACCTGTACCCGTGTGGTCAAGAGAACGACTCTAGTTGAAGCCCCACTCTACTCCAGGTGGAAGTGTCCATTCATTTTTGTATTTATACAACTTTTTTGTTTAAGTGGTAAAACTTTACAACAATGTCCTGCTTGGGTACCAGAAACTATAGCAGCTTAAAATCGTTTCACTCTCTGATGTGACACAACACCTCAGCAACCTCAGGCCCACTTATGAGTACTGTCAGATCACAAACTCAAGGCACGGTGGCGATCTGAAGAATGGCAACCAAGAGTCAGCTCTGGTGCTAACAGCAGAAAATAGCAGTGTGTCTAATCTCCACTAATTAGAAGCACACAGAATTGTTGAGGCTAGAAAATGTTTGGCCCACCTGACCGAGTCACTCACTAGGCACAGCTCCCACAAACTGTCAGCAGCCTACCCCTGCTCTTCTCTCTCCCTCCCTCTGCAGCCCATCCCTAGTGGGACATGCTCACCAAGGTCACTCCCACCCACCGACACTCCCCTCACCTGAGCTCGCAGTTTCCATGGCACAGGCCGCGGCCAGTGCCTGGACCGGAGACAGGCACCAAGGCTGCCCTCGCCCACCTCAGGCACTGCCTTTTTCTTCCGCTCCACCCTCTCCACACCACTGCAGATGACAGGAAATGCTGGGGAAGGTATTTTTCTCCCTAGGTGAAAACACAAATACACCAGCTTCAAGTAGCCTCCATAGGCATCCACTTCCAAAGCTCTGCCCCACTCGACAGAATTTTGCCTGTAAAAGGTCTCTGCCACCCCCACTTGGATGGCTCGTGGTTCCCATACCCCAGACAGAAAGCTCAAGATTTGCAATTCCTACCACCAAACCTGCACACCTGCCCCAAGCCCAGGTGCCCAACTCAGTGACCTGGGACGCTTCCTCGATTCTTCCCTGCCCTCAACTCCACTCATGCGCATGACCTTGATTCAACCGCCAAGGTGGATTTTGAATTCACCCACCCTGACCATCAGCGCCGCGCCCGTGATGCCCACCTCCACCTGCCGCTGGAGTCTCCCTGCAGATCTTCCCACTCCACCTCTTGCCCTTTTCCTCGAACAGGCCCAGGGACTGGAATCTCACGTGCCATCTCTTGAGCCTTGACGCCACTCGACACGCATGTGTCTCCAGCTGCCCTGAGTGGCTGCAGGTTCCTGCCTCACCTGATCTCATGGACACTCGCCACTCCTCCCTGCTTTTAAGGCTGGCTCCCTCCGGCCAGGTCCTCGTCATGCTGCCTCCTGAGAAAGGCTCTGACCAACTGTGGAAAGCATCTTCCCTGCTGCTCTCTACACTGCACTGGCCCCAGTTGATGACGGCTGCATTCACTGGGTGATTACTTGCCTAGTCTTTTCTTTTCTACCCATAGATCCCCACTCTTTGAGAATCTGACTCTTAAGTGCCTGTGACCAGCTCCTCCCGGGAAGGCACCTGGCGAAGAGGATATGCTCAACAGTCATTGGTAGAAGAATGTACCAACAGAAATCTTCCTAAAGGCAGTGCAGAGATACATATACATTTCAGTGATGCTGGCTAGTTACTTACGAAGACAGGAGGAAGGAGTACCAGAACAGCCATCAAATGTGATTGCTAAGGGGCAGCAACTGTCATCAAACAAAAAACCCAGTCATGAGGCCACTTGACTATCAGTTATCACTAAGGCATCTTGATGAACTTGCAAAGCAAGGTAAACACTGGCAACGCAACACTTATGTCACCTGAGGAACGGCCGTTTCCTCCTCTCTTTGGGTGTTTTCTTCATCTTTGGTAGAGCAGAAGTAATGCCCAGTGTCACTCTTAACTGATCAGAACGGTAATATGCATAGCTTACTTTTTATTTTTTATTATAAAAAACACATACAAGAATTTTAAGAAATGATGCATATAAGACAAATCAGAACCACGGTGAGTTATTCAACCCATTTGCTATATACAAATACTAAAATTCCGAAGTGGAATATCATCAAATGTGAGACACATCATACACAGTCCACATGTAACATACACAGCACACCGAGCTAGCGGCGGTCACCTCGGAACTGCTCATTTACACGTCATGGACACAAGAACTGCTCTTCAGTTCCTTTCCTGACACACAGTAAAATATGTTTAAGAACTGTAGAGATACGAAGAAAATGCATCCAAGTGAGGTTCTGCTAAGGGCTCTCCATGTTTGCTCTGATCAATGACGAATGTACCTGGAGTCAACTTTTGCAGCCCAGCTATGACACCCCACACTCTTCCAGGTCTTTGTTTGCCAATTTATTTTTTCCTAGTCACTCACTTGAGCACAAGTCCAGGATTAGCTCAGGAACCAAATCATGTTTTTATATTGGTAAGTTCATTATAAAATGCCAATTTTAAAAAGCCACTAAAAGGACACTTTCTGCAGCAAAAAAAGGGCTAAGTTCAAGTTTTTGTTGTTTGACAGACACAATAATACAATCCATACACGTCACATGATCACAACAGCCGTAAGTGAAATGTAAGTGATTTAGGGAACACCAACTATCAACTGCTTGTTTTTCCTGTTTCCCTGCCAAACGATGAGAAGAGCCTCCTGTCTGTCTATTAGCGTCTTTCTTGTTTAAGCCTCCCTTTGTATCCTGAAAGCTGATCAACCTCTTTATGTCCACAATGTGTCAAGGCACTTCTTGAGCCCCAGTGGCGTCCGGGTCACCCGAGCCCCTCTGCACTCAGTGCGTTGACTTCCTCCAGATAGCTGACTATCGCAGACGGAATGCTCTGAGAGGCCTCTCTCCGCCAGGCTTCCAGGATCTTGGAGATTTCTAATGGATTGCTGGGACTCAAGTCACAAAGAGCATACACAGCTGCTAACTGTATACCCCACGGTATATCTGAAAAGAGATTTCAGGTCACGCAGAACACAAAAAAAGATTTGTTATTCAAAACTTTAATGATAGAATCTACTGAAATACCATTCAAATGTAGAGTCTCTTCTGCCAGCAATACAAATTAAGTATATCAAAAGGTCTTTCAATAAAAAATTAATTTAAGAACTGTCTACAAATAAACAGGGTGTCCTGAGGACGGCTAAGTGTTCTGGAAGGGGGAGGGTCTCAATGCTCCCAGCCTCTCATGGCTCCACTGGGCTTCCACAGTCATTCTGGAAGGATCACACTCCCAGGTTTCAGTTTTAATAAAATACAGCATATGATTCTAGATCATAGCAAAGTTACAAATTACAGTCTATTACAACAGTTCTCTTTTAGGATAAATTTGTTGAGGAGTTATTTAAATAAAATTTAACTGAGTTAAAATGTAATTTAAATAATTCAGGTTAAATAGTTTAGGTGTTATTTAACTAAAATTTATTATTAACTAAATACAAGTTGAGTATTCTTATTCCAAACATCTGAAACCTAAAATGCTCCAATATCTGAAACTTTAAGCACCGACAGGACGCTCAAAGGAAATGCTCACTGGAGTATTTTAAATTTCAGATTTTTGGAGTTGGAATGCTGTTAAGTATAATAAAAATATTCCAAAATCTGAAAGTATCTGAAATCTGAAAGACTTCTGGTCCCAAGCATTTCTGATAAGGAATACTCAACCTGAATTTCAGTTTTTTTGTTTTTTGGATTTTTTTTTTGCGGGAGTTTATTAGGAAGACAAAAAAGCTCCTAAGTGGGCAGGGACCTGAAAGAGGGTTGCCCCTGAATTTCAGTTTTATCCAACAGAATAAACTAGTAACATTTCAAATAAACACAACACAGAAGCCAAATGTTCGTGGTCATGCTGAAGATGCAGTAGAACTGCAGCTTTTCAAATCAGTTTCCCCAGGTCTACAAACATGAGAGAAGTGCAGAGTATGGTACCTAAATAAAGCCATGATCAAAGGTTAAAAAAAAAAAAAATTCAACAGCGAGAGAAGCTCTACAAAGAGAATTTCATAAACAGGAGCTCATGTGTGGCGTGAAGCACTGCGCTCTGGGTCGGCAGACCCGAGGAGCAGCTGCGGTGGCACTTCCTGGCCTCACCTGTGGCTAACAACTCCTCTCTGGGCTTTGGTTTCCCCATGCATAAAATAAGGACAAGGCCATCTGCCTGACGCCTGGCTTGGGGACCACTCTGTGCCGTGCCAAGCACAGTGTCTAACCTGTGCCAGACCCCGACATCAGCTCCTCCTCCCCCCACGAAGGCGGAGGATCACAAGCCTCTAGGTTACACCCACTCCAGCAAGACTGAGTCCGCATCTGTCGGTAAGACAGCCTCCTCAGCCCTACTCTGCACACTATCTTTTTGTAGGTAAACAACCTGAGCTGTGAAAGAGTACATTTTCATATGGAAGAAACGTATGTCCCATCAGCAGCTACCCTGAAGTCAAAGAAGAAGCTTCAGGGAAAGCACCTTAACGAGGAACACTGTTCTCATGCAGCTCAACGTATCAAGTCTTCCACTGAAAGCTGAAGACAAAGAATCTACCAGGCTAAGATTATCTTGGGTGCCACGCAGTATTTAAAATATCACTTTGTGCATTTCTGATGGGATGTTACTCAACTGTGTTATTCACTGATTACACAATATTCAAAATAGAAATGAGATTCATCGCTTATGAAGGTTACTTTAAGTTAAACTTTTCCCGTAAAAGAGTAAGACATAAAATTATATGCTATGCAATATGTAAATGATAACAGAAATCCCCACCACGAAGACGTGCTCACGAGGCTTCCGGCTCCCCAAGTTCTCTCCTGAGCTAAGTACGCAATGACACATGGCATCTCACTCCTTGTGTTACACAGTGATCTCATTTGGTCATCAAGACACAGCTCTGCCTGGGAGGCCCCGCTTAGTCACTTGTGAGGGGTCACACGGTACAGGCTCTGAGATTGCATGTTAGCCCCAGGGAGAGAAGAGGTCCCTCTTCCTTAGAGTAGCACTGCCCAAAAGAGAGAGCTGCTACCACTTAAACAAACAGTAACACAAGACCCACATAAATATTAATGCTAAGAATGTTTTGCAAATACCCCCTAATCTACAAGGCAGTGAGAGAAGCACAGAGCACAGTACATAGTAAGGACCCCAAAAATGCTTTAACAGTAAGAGAAATGCTAGTTAGTTAAAAGCAATTTTCATAAACAAGAGTTTTACCTTCATCCTGAGCATGCTGTATAAACATACCAATAACTGAACTAATATTTTTCACAGCAGATGGAAATCCTTCCTTCAAACCCAACTGGCCTAAACGACCTGGAAGAAACAAAACAAAATATGAACAGTCTTCTTTAAATGTTGAATAACTTTTTACATGAACTTAAAGTACCACTGGTCTTACAGGAGGTGATCAAAATGCTCAATCACCTCTTCTTTTATTCACAGATGATGTACAGTGTGTTGCTTTCCCAGGTAAGCTATAAGGTCGTAAATGGAGTTCAGAAGAACAGCTTCAGTGAGGCCAGTGTGACTTGGCTGACCTCTGTTAGGTGAACAGCTCAAACAGAAGACAGTGGTGCCATCAAATTACACCTCTGGTCTGACAGTTTAGCAACTGGTGTTATAATAATGAGAGCAACAGTAAAAAAGTGTCGGCCTCCTTGACTTCGCAACAGCCTAAGAAGTCACATGCTTTGTCCAGTGCTGAGATGTGCCTGATGGTACAACAGCAGCAGCAGGTAGGACTCCTGGGCCTGAGCACACAGCAAGCCAGCAGCACCGGCCGACAGGACCCTTCTTCATCAGCTGGCACTCACAGTTCAAATGCCAAGTTCACTTAAGAATGTCCTTGATGAAGCCGACACAGGTATTCTCACAACGCGAACCCCTAAGCACAGAGTGCTGAACATTCTGTAGGCAGCCCAGTGAAGTACCCCGCCATACACCCAGCATCATATGGTTGTTGGGAAGAAGAGCACTTGGGCAACTATACTGTGAGGGAAACCAGGTGCTTTACATGGAACGCCACTTCTGATGGGAAGAGCAACTGACAAACTATGGCTATTTGGAATGGGGCAGGCATTTTCTCAAGATGACAAAGAAAGGCTGTATCTTCAAGGAAATTTATCATTATGGCCAATGATAACATTTGAGCATTTAAGCAAAATTAGAATTTTGGAACAATTTTCATCGTTTTCTAATACTTGAGACCTTTTTCTGTGATGAGATTGATGTCAGTACATGTGTTTTTTTGGTATTGCTAGCATTTAGAAGATCTGTGTGAATCAATTATTCTCCAAGTGAACAATGCAGGTTACAAAGTCACACAATGGACAAAATAAATTCCTTCAACATGCAAGCTAGAACTATGGGTTTTAGTGTAACAGAATACAAAAAACTCACTGCTAGGGTTTCCTATTTCATCCTGCAACTAATCTTTGAGAAATTACTGCCTTTTGCATTTTATTATAGTATCTAAGAAGAATAGCTGCAATTACTGGAAAAGGCTGTTAAAATACTCTTCCCTCTATCAACTACTTATTTGTATGAGAATGGGTTTTCTTCATATATTCAACAAAAACAATGTTAATACAAGAGACTGAATGCAAAACGGATGATGAGAAATGAGCTGTCTTCTATCAGACCAGACAGTGAAGAGGTTTGCAACAAGACAATGCCATTTTCATTACTGTTTGTTTTGAAAATATAGTTATTTTTCATTCAAATGTCATTTATATTCATGTGCTCATTACTGTTAATTTTAAATGAATAAATATTTAAACAATTTTTTCTAATTAAAGCAACTAGAAAGAATTGATTTTTAATACAATGTTGACACACATAACCTGGTGTTATAAAGTTCTCTGGGGATTCTCAATAATGATCAACAGTATTCAGGGGTCCTGAGATCAACAGGTAAGGAAACCACAGATCGAAATCACAGGGCAATCTTCTCCACTACAGGCTAAACAAGGAAACCACAGATCAAAATCACAGGGCAATCTTCTCCACTACAGGTAAACAAGCAGGGAGGCATCATCACCAAGTGACATGCTATAAAGGTAGTCTAGGAGCACCAGGCTCTCCTGCATAGCCTAGGTGTAGGCTATGCCATCTAGGTTTGTATAAGTGCACTGTTCACACAATGACGAATTCACCTAAGAACATGTTTGTGAAAATGTATCTCTGTTGCTGAGCAATGCATGACTCTATTTGGTTTAGATGTCACAAAACTCTTGCAAGCAAAATTATGTAAGGTTATATAAGTACTTTAAAATATATGCCTCAAAAAATAACATGTGAATTAAGAATTTGTGAATAGTTTATTCAAAAAGAAAAATGTATAATTATAGGGCGAAAACATGACTTGTACGTTTTGTCAAATTCAGGCTAATTTATTATTTGATCCAGAGCAGTTCTGCACAATGGTCTTTAATACATGACCATTAAGGCAGGTCAGAATAGACCCCATTTAATAGTCATATATGAGCATTTGCAAACATATTCATATCTTAATCCAACATTAGATACCACCAAATCGTACTGACAAAAAGGTCTATTTTCCATGGAGTTAAAATCTCATTAGTAGGACTGCTAGGGTTTCCTATTTCATACTGCAACTAATCTTTGAGAAATTACTGCCTTTTGCATTTTATTATAGTATCTAAGAAGAATAGCTACAATTACTTGAAAAGGCTGTGCAAATATTTCATGATTTAATGAAGACAAGCTGGGTGTGGTGACTCACAACTGCAATTGTGAGGTCAAGGCAGCAGGACTGCTTGAGTCCAGGGGTTTGAGACCAGCCTGGGCCAACACAATGAGACCTTGTCTCTACCAAAAAAAAAAAAAACCCAAAAAACAAAAACATCGGCCAGGCGTGGTGACACGCACACAAGTCGAGGGTGCAATGAGCCATGATGGTGACAATGCACTCCTCCAGCCTTGGTGACAAAGTGAGACCCAACTCAAAATAAATAGACAATTCTTTTATTTTATGAACGATGAGTGTGTGACTTCAGTTAATTTACTGAATCATGGCCTACCAACTTAATTTTTTACTCAATTCTTTGTCAGGTCAGCTTCAGAAACTGCAAGAAGGTTCAGTGACAGAGTTTCTTCTTAGAAACAACTCAAACCCCCGATTCAGAAGTGTGTGGGGTGGTGTGTTAATGTCATCTCGGGAATCCACCAGGTATCATCAGCAGGCCTCACTTGCTTTCTCCCTTTACCCCTCAGCCTGCACCACTGCCCTCAACAGCCAGTGACTGCCTGGCTCTGAGCCAGGCCTCCGTGCAGGGCTAGAGCATCCAAGGGACAAGCGGGCAGAGCCTGGCCCTCTCCAGCAGCGCCTGGTACCTCGGTCCCTCCACACCTGTCCTGCTCATGTGCACTGGACCCCTCAGCGGACCTCAGTAGACTTCCTGCTCCTGACTTTGCTCTTATGTCTTAATTTGACAAAAATTACAAGTCATGTTTTCGTCCTGTAATTATACATTCTTCTTTTTGAATAAACTATTCACAAATTCTTAATTCACATGTTATTTTTTGAGGCATATATTTTAAAGTACTTATATAACCTTACATAATTTTGCTTGCAAGAGTTTTGTGACATCTAAACCAAACGGAGTCATGCATTGCTCAGCAAGAGAGATGCATCTTCACAAACGCATTCTTAGGTGAGTTTGTCATTGTGTGAACAGTGCACTTACACAAACCTAGATGGAAGAGCCTACACCTAGGCTATCGGGATAGCCCAAGGCTGCTAGGCTACCTGTATAGCATGGCACTGCACTGAATACTGTAGGCAGATGTGACACAATAGTATTTATGTATCTAAACATAGAAACGGTACAGTGAAGTCAAAGTATTATAATCTTATGGGTCCACCTTTCTATTTGTGGTCTGTCCTTGATCGAAACACCACCATGTAGTGTGGGACTGTATATGCTATCTTATTTAATGCAATCATTACTTCCTCCAAACTCACTATCAGCAGCATGCCTGCAGGGCTTTATAGACACAACCCTAAAACTAACAACAGAACGTGGGAGGAGGGAGCCTGAGAATCTCCATGTTTTAAAAAGCTTCTCAGGCAATTTGGATAGCCAGGCACATTTGGTAATCCTAGATGAGAAACACTAACTGGAAGAGGCACTAGACAAGTCACCAAGACAAGCCACACATACAGCTCCTTTCTAAACACAAAGAGGCTGCTGCTGCTTCCGCTGTGGCACAAGGCTGTCAGCCACAAAAACTACAGCCTTCACTTTTATTTCTGCTCTTATTATATCAATTAATAAATACAAAAACACAACCACTACAATAAGCACCGTAAAAATCATATTTTAAAGTGTGACTTTAACAAACACTTTATTCTGAAAATCATAGAGAGATTTCATCTATCTATCTATCTATATATAAAATTATAGACTTAAAACATTTCTCTTAATTTTTTAAATTGTCAAAAAGATTTCACAATTTAGATGAGTCAGCCCAAAGTATGAACACTTTTTCCTGTCTCCATGAGAGAATCTGCTGTTGCAATTAGAGCTTTCAGAGACAGGGATGTACAGGATAAATAAAAGATTTCCCTGACTGCTGGAGATGCCATCACTGGCCCCTCACATCTAGGATAGAAATCATTCTCAATGGCACCCTGAGCTGAGGAATTCAGTAAAGCAGTTTGAGACTGTGCCCCACCTGGCACAGTGTTCATTTCCACTTCTGAGTCAGAGTTCTTATTCTGACATATCTCTTCTGAACTGTTACACAATCTTTAGCAACCATTTGGTTTTCACACTCTCTTGTTTGGTAACTTACGAGGAGGGACCCCAAAAACCCCGGAAGTTTAAACCCTCTGCACATGGATGTCCCTCTGAGGGGCCACTGCAAATCTAGTAAACCACTCTGATGTCCCCTTTCAGGGGACATAAAGAGATTGCTGGTGATTATGCAAGTGATAATTAAAAAAAAAAAAAAATGTATGTTTCCTTGGAGTTTTCCATTCAAATTACAGGAAAAAACCAAGAAGATGGAATATATACTGAGATATGATGAAGCAGTTGGGAAGTGGTTTTCAGGAATCAAGAGTGCATCCTTCCACATCATCCTTGAATAACAGACTAGATAACAAATTACACATTATTAATGTGGGAGGAAGAAAATGAGATTGCATTCTCTGCACAAATAGAAAACACCAGGTGGAAGACATCAAACAAATTATTACACAACATGTATCAATGAACCTGCAGTACGTACATGTCGGTGACTGTTTCACACATTACCACAGGTTGGGAAAACGTAAGATATAAGATTTGAATTTTTTAAAAACATAAATAAGTTCTTCAATGTCCAAAATTCCACTATAAGCCAAACACCATTAAAATAAAATAACTGGCTCCAATGCTACCCTATTTAACATGAGGTGATTAGTGTTTCACCATTGTAAAGTGTGGTCGAGTTGCTAGAAGGTGGTGGGTGAGATGTCTTCGAGTGCAGAGGGTCTCACTTCAGTCACCTTCAAAGTACCCTCCACTTGACGCACCTATCGAGATACTTTTCCCACTGCTCAAAACAGTTTTTGACCTCATCGACTTTCATGCCTTTTAGCATTTCAGCCATTTTTTGTTTCACCTGATACACACTGGCAAAAAGTTTCCTTTTAAGGACTTTTTCTTTTGGGGAAACAAAAGTCACTAGGGGTGAGATCAGGTGAACAGGGAAAGGGGGTATGTGGGTCATGCCGTTTTTGCTCAGAAACTGAACACTCAGTGTGGTGTGGACAGGTGTGCTCATAAAGCACCCATCATGAAATGAGCAAAGGTGTTGAAAGAATAGCCACAAAAAAGAATTCACTGAAGCCAAATGCAGCTTCTCATAACAACACTAGCAGGTACATTGATGCTGATGGGTTCCTAGAACACTTGCTTAGCAGAGGAAGCCTGTACTACAAAGGGTCCGCCCTCCAAAAGATAACTCTGGGATTTTTTTGGCCAACACCCCAACTCCAAGTTTTTTGGTTATTTCCAGTGAAATGAGGTTTCTACTTTGTAACCAGGTTTTTGTCCTGAACCATTATATATATTTACCTAGCACAATGTTACTGTATTTGCATGTGTAGTTCACACAGGGAAGGAATGCAAATTTGCTGGCACAGTAAATAAATTTGTAAGGATCATTATATTTCCTATTGTGTTCTATTTAAGACTTCCTTATCTAACATATTCTCAAACACTAACCTCTTCAAATGGTGTTATTTTTGAGTTTTACTTAACTAAAATCCAAAGATGCTTAAAAGTCATGATAACTACTTTCAAGCATCTAAAGGGCCACAATGCAGAAATCGTATGAACCTTGTTTTGTATTCCCCAGGGGCAATGAATACATGTTGCAGACAGAGAAGTCAGTTCAAAATTAGGAGAGCCTTCTAATACTTAGTAGACCTTATCACCAATAATTCTGCAGAGTGGAGAGCAACTTGTCAGAGATGAGGCAAAGAGAAAAAAAAAAGCAAAAATAAAAAATAAAGATTTATGAGTGAAAGGGAAGTAGAACTAAACTGTTATCGAGGTCCTCTTTAGATCTGAGATTGAGAAGACTATGTCTCATTTAACATATTTCTAACAATAATTTAATTTCTGTACTTACTGGGCAAGTATGAAAAACTTGGCACACGGGCTGTAAAGCTATCCTTATTTCAGAAGTCAAACGAGATTACAGTATATTTTATAGTAATTTACATGCATATTAATATACAGGGGTACACGCATATCAATATTAGCATCTGAGAAGCAAGAGTTCAATTACAAATAAAACGTACTAATGGAAAAACCAATCTATGGGAAATATAGATAAAACATTAATTTATGAGGAAAGTGAAAAGAGGATGAATTAAACACAAAAGTGTCTACTCTTTTGGCTGCAAAACCAGTCATCACGGTGAATTTTCAGTCAACATATATTATATACTTATTCCACCACCAAGACATCATCAGTAACAAGAAATCAATTCATAAAATAGACAACTCACCAATCAACCTCAGTATGGATGCTATAATAATATCAGGAGTGTATGCAATGTTCGCGTGTCCTTTTCTGTATTTTATCCACTTATCCATCACAGGCCACAGCTCCTTACTATAAAACAACAGCATGAGAGGACATATGTTCACCATCACTCAAATACTGAGAACTGAGCTTACAAATGGCCCACAGGCAATTAGTGAAAACAGTCACTGCTAAGGATCTAACATTTCACGTTAAAATGACAAGAGATATTGGAAGCTCACATTTTTTACTATTCAGGAGATCGTTCGCACACTGGCCTAAAAGAGGCTTTAAGTCCATGATTGCCTCTTTATTCTGCTGACAATTTTCAAAAGGCTTTGCACAGCAGCGTCCCCAAGGTCACAAAACTAGGAAGTGGTGGAGTCTGCATTTTGACTTGGCCCTTTGGGAGCTAGAGCAGCCCCTGAGTTCCAGAAGCCCAGTTTCCTGGGAGGATCAGAGACAAATAAAGCTGTGGTGTAAAAGAGCTAAGCCGGAGGAAAACTGTAACTTCAATCATCAAAATGCACTTCAGATGGGTTGGATAAAAGAAACTTGCCACGGTTGAACACAGTGCCAACTCCTCTTTGTTTTTTCTCTTGTCAAAAATGTATTTACTTCTTGCATGGCATTCATAATCTATCACTAGAAAAGTTAAATTCATACAAACAAACACGGAAATTAAAAGTACCCCAAATAACCCGGACTCAGGTAATCACTACTCTTCTAATTTGGGGAGTTTCTTGCAGATGCATTTCCCTCTCTCTACTAATGTAAACACCTGGAGAGAGAGTGGCTACTATGCTGAGGAAGGGAGCAGGGCCTGCAGTCGCTCAGAGGGCCTCTGAGTCAGTGGGTAATCGAGGACCAAGCACCTTGGACAGGCACCAGCCTGGGTCCCTCAGTCACAGCTGGGGCTAGAAGCACGCCTGCCTCCTGGGCTCCCATAGGGACGCAGGAAGACGAGGCCCACAGCAGGTCCTCACACACCATTACACAGACTGGCACTGGACAGACTGTTCTGTCACTTCCTTCTTTAGCAACAGATTGAAAATGCCTTTCCATATTAACACATGAAAACCCACTTAGAGTTATGCATTTTAATTGAGCTATTAACTCATATAGCTGTACCATGATTCAATTTCTTACTGTTTGACATTTGCATGTCTTTCTTTAGTGTCAAGGGGTGCACAAGACATATTTGTACACAGATGGATCCCTGTGCAGGTAATTACCATAAAATATATTCTTCAAGTATCTCAAGGATATGGATTATCAACCTCTGACGCACCCTTTTTAATGTTACAAACTCCTTTAAATCAGCCTTTCTCAGTCAAGTTTCCACGAGAAAATTAAGACTGACAGAAACATTATTTGAGTGACAATTTTCTCCATTCTCCCAGAGATGGTACAAGCTGGTGCAGATTATGGATGCGCAGAGGAAAATTAATTCATTACATTCAGTAGATACCGGAGAGTGGCAGGCTTAATTCCCCCAAGCAAAAACAGCACTAACCTGAAACACTGAGCATTTCTGCAGCTCTGGGTGTTCCCAGAGTGTCTGTATGTTCAGATCCTGTCATTCCATCCATTCCACACATACTGACTGAGCACTCCCCTGCATGGATACCATTCTACAAGCTGGGGAAATGTCAATGGGCCAAATAAGGCTCCCCCACCCCAGAGTCATTTTGACTGGGGAGACAATAATGACAGAATTCAACAAAAAGTAGTGATAGATACTAAGGAAAAATAAGGCAAGGAAATGGGACAGTGATGTAGGTATTTTAAGGATAGTTTGATTAACTGTTATGCAAATAAAATGCTGTCCTTTGTAAATGTTTCTGGCACATTATACACTTAGACAACAAAAATGACCCAAACCACAATCCAGACCACCTTACATCCAACAGATCACCTTACAATTCAGCTAACTCAGCTTAAGCTTAGAAATCTGCTTTATTATCAGTAGGGCTCAACAAACCCTTCTAGCCTGGGGGTTGGGCACTGCTATCCTGCAAGGTTCTGACCCTGTCTCGAGCTTTCTGTGAGCTGGAGAAACAGCTGACCTTATAATGTTATCATGTGTCCAAATCCATTTCTGATGGCAGCAAAGCAGATCGATGGCAAAGATGTATTCCCACGTGTTATCGCTTAAGTCTTCTCCAAATTTTTCACTGGACTGAAATTCTGTTTTTGGACATAACTGTATGGTCAAAAGCAGCTTAGAAACCATGAAGCCAACATCTACAGGAGCATTCTAATAAAAAAGGAAGAACAAATAAAATTTGGAACATCAAATATAATCTCTCTTAGGTTAGTTACCTCAAAGAGCATAATAAACATCAGATGATTCATCATACAGTCTTAAAAATAACTTTCTGAAATAGTTGTATTTTGAATAAGGACCTAAGGTGATCTATCTCAGTCATAAAATAATTATATAATGGTAGTTGATCAGCCAGATAAAAAAAAGTCACAGGTGGGATGAAGAATCCAATCAGGTAGAAAAGAGTTTAACTGCAATCCAGAAAAGAATGCTCAACTCAGATAATTAAAGTTATTAAAGTTAGTTATAATAAAAAGCTAAACCCTTAAAAGATCATTTAAATTCTGTTATCTTTCTGATACTAAAGATAAGTCTGCCTTTTCCAGAAATTCATAAAATTAAATCAGACAGCAGTGTATTCTTCTATCTGCATTTTTCACATTTGTATATAAAGTTGTATGACTTTCATCCATATTGTTGTATGTATCAGTAGTTTGGACGCTTCTTCTTACTGCTGAGTAGTAAAATCCATTACATGGATGTATCACTGTGTATCCACTCACCTGTCAGTAGATATCTGGCTGTTGTTAATAATGCTGCTATGAACAATCATGTACGAGTCTTTGTGTTGATGTAAATTTCACTTCTCTTGATAACACCTGGGAATAGAACTGCTGGGCCTTTTGCTATGAAATAGTTTTATTTTAAAAGAAGCTGCTCAATTATTTTCCAGTGTGGTTTCCACACCAGCATTGTTTATTTCAGTTTAAAAATAATCCACTACTTGGAAGGCTGAGGCAGAAGGATCGCCAGAGCCCAGTAGGTCAAGGCTGCGGTGGCCAAGATCGGCCACTGCACTCCAGTCTGGGCGACAGAGTGAGACTCCAACTCAAAAAAAATAAAAATAAATATAAAAAAATAAAAATAATCCATATGTGATACTCAGTCTACTCAACATAAGAAAAGGGTTGGGCTTGGAAATCTGCTTTATTATTAGAAGAGCTCAACAAACCCTTCTAGCCTGTGGGTTAGACACAGATATCCTGAAAGGTTCTCACCCAAGTCTAAAGCTTTCTATACAACAATCCATATCCAAATCAAGGTCCCAAAAAACCTACATCATAACCTAAACTAAGACAGAATGGTAAATATTCCCCACTAAGGGAATTTGATGGCTTTGCAACCAAAGAAGATGCAGAAATAAATTTAGACACAAAGCAAATCAAATCCATACATTAAATTTTGTATTATATATTTCAGAATATACTCTGCAGTAACAGTGAACATGTGATAATCTACATGTGTGTCATTAACACTCCGTAATAGTGCTGAGTTGTGGTTATATAGCTTGATGTATTTTATATTAGAATAATGATTTTAATTAGAAATGTTGAAGAGAATGTATTTAAATTTGTAAACAGTAATTGAATAATACAACATATAGTCTTCATTCTCAATTTGACTTTTTACATTCAGGAGTTGCTTAAGTGAGCCGGAAGATTTTGCTTATTAGAGCTGAAGGTCTAGTTTGAAGTGTTTTTGTAAAATATGTTTTTAAATGTTTGAAAAGTTTAAGATAATAAAATTACTGAAGTTTGTATGTAAGATTACTTAGTAAATGTTAATCTGTTAGATATACAAGTTAATCAATGCCCAAAGCAAAAACATTGTTACTTTTGTAACAATTACTTGGTTTACAAATGAAAGAAAAGTTATGAATGTAAAGGCTCTAAAAAAAAAAAAGGTTTATAAATTTACAACTTTGGAACTGAGTAGTAACTTAAACCAAGCATCACTTCTACATACAGAAGACCCTTAAGGACTTTATCAACTCCACTGGAAAAACTTGAAGGACAGGTGGCACCCTGAAGATTCCAACTCAGGGAAATACATCCCACCATGGCAATAGAAGGAATCCCCAATTTCTGATGGCAAAAACTGAAAATAATTTAGCGATTTGCACTAAAGATCATATATACTATCAATCTTATATTTAATAAGTTTCTTCTGTTTTAGGAATTATCCCATTGGGTTTTTTTCTTAATTTATTAATTGTATTTATTTCCTAATCCTGAATTCTCCTTTTTTGATTAGGATAAACTCTACTTATAAAGTATTATTCTTAGGCTACATTACTAAAATCGACTGTTTTTACTTACACTTTTTATATCTGTCTCATTGAAAAGTAGCTTACATTTTTTTTCTTTCTTATGCTATTTTTATTGGGTTTTATTATTAAAAATGAACAAGGTCTTTCAATTTTCTCTTATGCCTGAAATATATTAAAATTACTTGGTTCTTCAAAGATTAGATAAAATTCAGGTGGGATCTATGTGTCCCCTTTTTGTATAGAAAATTTTAAATTATCTTTTCTACCACTTTTATGAATATTGATAACAACTGGTCTGGTCAAGTGCGCTGCCTACCCCTAAAGCCAATTTTGATCATTTTTATTTGCTAGGAAACATCCTTCTCATTCCTCATCCTGTATCTGTGCTACATCCTCTTTTCCATTTCACCTTTTCAATAGTTTAGCTTTCCTCTGTTTTCACTGTTCTGGCCTGTGAGTTATCCACTCTGCAGCATTTTGTAAAGGCAATGTTTCTACCTTCTGTGTGTTTTGTTTGCTCTCCACTTCATTACCATTACCTTTTAAATTGCATGTCTTTTTCCTGGCTTCCTTATCATAGTTCTAATTTTTAAGATAAGTATTAGCCAGTTTCACTTATTGTTTGCCTAACAATAAAGACATTTATAGTGCCTTAAGAGTATAAGTCTTCCAAAACACTAGAGATTTTGGTAGAAAGAGTTCCTTTTTGTTGACTTTTAAATGACAGTGAGTTTTACCTTCCATATTTTGTTTGTTCCTAGATTGTCCAAGACTACACATCTCAATTCCAAAATAAACGTAAATATTTTATGGTATCTTTGAATTTTGAGTATAGAATGTTTACATTTTAGAAATTAATGTTTTCATGTGGCCAAATTCATGACTGATGACTGTAGATGTGTCATGGACAAATGAGAAATACAAATTCTTCATTCATATTTCCCTCTTATGTTAGTGAATTCTGCTATGTCCTTACTTATTTTTGTTTCCCAGATCTGCTTAATTAGGTAAAAGAGCATCTGGAAATCTTACACAATAATGGCATTTTCCCCCAGGTATTGCTCACCTTTCTTGGAACTTTGACTTCGTATTTTGATATAATACTTAGTAAGTACATTTACTAAAATTCTATGTTCTTCATCAGTGGTGTCTTTTTAACTGCATCCTCCCTAATTCTGAACAAGCAAAGGGAAACATGCTCTAGTGTGCAGGTGGAAGAACCAAGCCAGAACAGGAACAGTCGAGCAAGTAGACCTCACCCCTGGAAGTAAGGAACCCTCACCCTGGTGGCAGGTAGCCCTCACCCCCAGAGGCAGGTGATCATCCAGAGAAGATATGTGTGTGACTGCCTGAGTTTACTGGTGGGAGCCAAGAGGTCTCTTGTAACACTAAATGATTGACCAGAGTTTGTGACAATCCCTCATGAATATACTATGGTGTGTCTAGATAGACTGAAGAAATAATTACGGGCTTGCTTTCAATATTTACCTAACATTTGACTGCCAAAAGATCCTGACTTTCTATCAAACATAAAAGCCTAATAAACATTAGCATCAATAAGAACTAGAAAAGAAGAAGCAAAATAACATACAATTCTGCTCCACACATGAGCCAGGAGAACTATTTGTACAAAGAAAAGTAATGCATGCTTATTAAAAAAGAAAATAACAAAATTTAAAAAAACAAACAAACAACCTTCACTGACTTCAGGCCCTCTTCTTAAAGTTTTCTACTGTCAACTGAATCCTCATTAGATACAATGAATGAATGAATGAATGAAAGAAATGAAAGAACACCAATCTAGATACTACTTTAACATACCAAAGAAAGTCATGAAAGGTAACATGGGAATAAAGTACTGTACTTAGAACAAAACCAAATTCTATCAATTGCAAAGAAAAATACAAAATTTTAGATTTAGAAAAATTCTGATAGAAAAGAACTGAGACACCTTTTTTCACTTCTCTAAGTACCTAGTGTAGAATCAAGCAATTTTATAGCTCCTGGAAGACCTTTATACATATGTATGAATTTCATCAGTCATAAATTAGTGTATAAAACAAACTCTGCTAAATTAACACAATTCATAGGTCTATGATTCTTCCTAGAATGTCTCAGGCATACTTAATGAACAAAAAAGCATACACTTAGGCTAAACTGATATTTAAAACATCTAATAAGAAGAATAATATCTCTAAAATGCCTATGAGCTTAGAGAAAACTAAACACATAACAAAACAAGAACACTTATGTAAGATTTCTTATGGCAACATAAGAAATAAAAACAAAGCTTACCTTTTCCCAGTTAAGAAAAGCCCTCAAACAGTTCAGAACCTCTCCTTTAGCACGCTGCCGGGCAACTAACTGCATTGCTTTATTAATTACTGATTGAGAAAGAAATACATCATGCCACATGTTTGCAATAAACAATGTCAATTTCTCAGACTCTGGAAAATCTATGAGGAAGAAAAGAGGACAATAAGCCTTGACATCTGGTCAAGTGAATAAATCACAAACCGAGAATGAATTGTATTAATCTCACTGGTGTCTCGCAAGACATCCTGCAGCTGGAGAAGTTGCACATGAGGATCCCAGATGAGACTCTGGTCTTGGTCCTTTCAAAATTGGCTCCAGGTTTTTTTGGTTTTTCCTTCTTTTTCTTTTTGACAATGTTTCTTTAGTCAACTTTTAAACATACTACAAGCACAAACAGCATTGTGTGAAAAAAGAAAAACTTGGCCAGGTACAGTGGCTCATGCTCGTGAGCACAGTACTTTGGGAGACCGAGACGGGAGGAGTGTTTGAGCCCAGGAGTTCGAGACCAGCATGGGCAACATAGTGAGATCTCGTCTCTATTCATATTTTTAAAAAAGAAGATGATGAAGAAAGAAAAACTCCAAAACATAAACAAAAGGCAAAAATCTTTTTACTAAACATCCTCAGTCGCAGCATTCACCATTTGGTGTCTCATTACTGGCAGCTTTTATGCATTAACACAGGTTCATCTACTCATAGAACACATAAAGCTTTTGATTTGAAGAAATACTTTTTATAAACTCTAGATGACAATCCTTTTGTTGTACATATTTCTCCTATACTCTGGCTTGTCTTTTTTAAAGTTAACTTAATTGAAGTATAGCTTACACGCAATAAAACACACTCTTTTTAAGTATACAGTTCACTGAAATTTGACAAATGAATAAATCCATATAACCAGAACCACCATAATCAATACTCATCATTCCAAAAGTTCTCTCTCTCTCTCTGGCATTTTGCAATAAATTGCCTCAATCACCAGACATGGAGAACCTCTGTGATCAGCTGTCACTATAAGTTAGTTTGCCTTTCCTTAAATATTGACGAATGGATCCCCGTAGTGTGCACTCTTATCTGTCTGGTCTCCCTGCTCAGCATATTGCTTTTGAGACTCATCCACACTGTTGCATACGTCAGCAGTCTGTTTATTTGTGTGGCTGAGTGGTACTCAGCTGCCTGATATATCATAATCTGTTTTTCATGCAACTGCTGATGGACGTTTGTTTCCATTATGGGCAACTATGAATCAAGATGCTATCATATCTGTGTGCTAGTCTATAGAAGGTTATGTCTCTATTTCTCTTGCATAAGTACCCAAGAGTGAAATTTCTAGGACATATGATAAACAGATGTTTTAACTTTATAAGAAACTGTCAAAAAGCTTTCTAATGTGGTTATATTAGTCACCATAAAGATTTTTGTCTTGTTTGAAGTGAAATCACTTTTTAAAATTAGTTTTCTCTGTTCTACTTTATCTACCATGGCCACGTGTCTAAGAATGAGTAGTTCAAAGCATAAACTCTCTGCACCATTTTGATCTATTAATTTTTAAAGCCTATGTTTATTTGGTGATGCTTCTTGCTGCCACAGGACTTCTGCACGTTGTTCCCCCTGCTTAGAATGTTCTTCCTCACTCTTCATTGGTGTGCTTTTTATTCACCTTCACATCTCAAGATCAAAAGTAACAATAACAAGGAAAATGAACCTTCAGACTATTGTAATATTTAACTTATAGTCAATGGTTGCCTCCCAAATGTATTTTTTTGGGGTGGGAACAAAGTTGAAACATGACAAACAAATTCTGTCCTTACAAATCCTCAGCTTGGCACGGTGGCTCATACCTGTAATCCCAGCACTTTGGGAGGCCAAAGCAGGAGAACTGCTTCAGCCTAGCAGTTCAAGACCAGCCTGGGCAACAGAGTGAGACCTCATCTCTTCAAAAATTAAAAAAAATTAGCTAGGCACAGTGGCATATGTCTGTAGTCCCAGCTACTCGCGAGGCTGAGGCAGAAGAATCACTGAACCCAGAAGTTTGAGGCTATAGTGAGCTGTGACCATGCTACTGCACTCTAGCCTGGGTGACAGAATAAGCCCCCAACTAAAAAAAAAAAAAAAAAATTCTAACACTAGAGTATATAATCTAGTAGAGGAGGGAGATAGTCAGCAAAAAGTTACTCTATAAGATAAAGAGTGCTAAGTGCCAAGAAGGCAAGCAGAAGCAGATAAGGAATAGAGAATGACCAGAGAAGTATGTGAAGTGATGAATGAACTATAATGAAGTTGAAGGAAACAGAACAAAAAATCTGTAAGCACAAAAGCCTGAGCTGAGAACGGGCTTGTGGTTGAGGAAGAACAAAAAGTCCACTATAGTCTTGGCTGAGCCATTTTGGATGATGTGACCATGGCCTATCAGCCTCAATGGACAGTTGTCCCTGCATCTGATTTTGATCACCACAGAACTCCTAACACGTAGCATGACTCCAGAACAATGTGCTGAATAAATGAGTGACTGAAAGAGTAAACAAAGAAACAAAGGGGGCAACTGAAACATGCACTAAATGCAATAGATGTACTCAATATCCTGATGTGTCAGTCCCATGAAGATGATAGCAAAAGATCACACATCTTTAAGATCGAGACCAGACTTTCTGACATAATGTTAAGCTGCATCTGTATATCATCTTATAACTTGAAAATACTAATGACTTGCTATAGAAAAGAACTGGGGCAGGGCATAGTGGCTCAAGCCTATAATCCTGGCACTTTGGGAGGCCAAGGTGAGGGGATTGCCTATGCCCACGGGTTTGAGAACAGCCTGGGCCACTTGGTGAGACCTCATCTCGACTATAAATAAAAAAATTAGCCGGGTGTGAGCACATGCTTGTAGTTCTGGCTATTTGGAAGGCTGAGGCAGACGGATCACCAGAGCCTAGCAGTCTGATGCTGGGGTGGCCGTAAGTATGCACTGCACTCCAGTCTGGGTGATGGAGTGAGACTGCAAGTCAAAAAAAAAAAGAATCAGAATCACTCTCAGGGACTGAAGAAAGAGAGTCACAAGATCATCACAGGACGAGCCTCACGTCTCCACCTCCTTTCTGGCTGTCTCTGCTTCACTCTTCATCAGCCCATGAACCCATCCCAGAGCTGCTGCTCTTTCCAAACAGGGCTATGGCAATTTAGCTTGCCACTTACTTTCAAAGTATTCCCATATTTTATGGCAATTATTTCTAATTCTAAAGCAGCTGCACAGGGCATTAAACAGATGTGCAGTCAAGAGAGATCTTATATTTACAAACATAAATGTATGTGCTGACATAAGTCCTCCTGAAAACCAGGTACAGCAAGGTATGCTGTATTCTGTACACTGTATGTGATACTATTCAATACCCAAAACATAACATTATTTTGAAAGACATACGATAATCACACAGCTGGAAAATACAGATCCAAGTATAATACAATATGGTACAAAGGCATTCATATATTTTCAACAGAAAAAAGTCACAGTTTAAACATACCTTCCTTAAGTAGGCTGTAGCAAAACAAGCGAGCTCTTTCTAAGTCTCCCAGTTGCCGACAAATACCCACATATACTCTGCAGAGGGCGTGAATGTAATTGTGGTCTGTGGACAATTTCTGAATTTTCAGTTCTGAGAGAATAGAGTGAAGCAAGCACTCTGCTAAATGCTGGATTGGAAAAAATAAAAAATAAATATAAAAAGGCAATGTACATTTGTATTTATTTGAGCCTACCAAAGAATAGCTAAATGTCACAAAACTGAGTATCTATTAGAAAAATAAATTACATCAGTGTAAAGGCTGCACTGTATCAGAAGATCACTTGGCTGCTTGTATATCATCTTATGACTTAAAAATACTGATGATTTGCTATAGAAAAGTACTGGGGCAGGGCACAGTCACCAACTGTCACCACTCAACTGTCACCACTCAAATAAATCATGGTATCTTAGTTTCTGCTAAAATAATTCCACATCTGTGTGTATTAACCCAGTATAATCCTATTCTCATCCTTGTGTTCTAGACTTTAATTTTCTCTATAGACTGTTTAGATTTTAAAATATTAGATAAAGGATTTTGCTCAGAAAGAGGCAGATTAGCTTATAATTGGATGCATTTATTTCCTTTCAAAGTTACTTATAGAACTCTTTATGCTTTCTGCAGTAAGCAATCTAATAAAAAAGTAACTATTTATGTCACAGTGAATATGAAGATAACAACTGAAGTATGATCCATCGAAAACTGGAAATCATCCATACAGAGTACTGATATAGATATGTAGAAAATACAGAACTATAAAAATCCTAATAAACTTTGTATATCTACACAATCCCCTTTCCTCCCATCTTCAAACTAAGCATTCGCTCCTGTTTGATTTGTGACATTCCTTACTAGAAAGTCTTTCTGTATGCCTCTCAAATCACTCAAACATGTATACTGCTATTAAAAGAAAGGATCCATTTCATGATAATTTAAAGCTTTGAAGGAAATCATTTAAAATATGCCAAGATCCAGTGGAAATATGCAATTTTATTCCTGACAGATACTTTTCTTTAAAATTTTAAGCCATTTGATAAATGATCAGTCCTTCAGTGTCTTACCATATTTCAAACGTACAAAATGCTGGCTAGAAATGAAGTATTTGTCATAACCTTTCTCATCTTTGAAATAAAACTTTGGTTCAGGGTCCTCAACATATTGTGCTGACAGCAGACAGCATCTATCTTTGAGGACAGGCAATTCCTAATGCACTTAGAGAAAAGCAGCCACATACCTTTTTGGTTGTGCTAAATTCATAGACAACTTCTTTTTCTTGATCTCTCATGACGGGCTTTTTGGAGATGTTTCCCACATATACATGACTACGGATGACAGGCAACAAATCGAAAGAAAACTCTGCAATTTTCTTCAGTGCATTAGCTATGGCTTTATCGTGTGACTCCACGGTTTCTTGGGGGTTTAAAGGCAAGTGTGAAGCTGCCTTGGTGGCTGGACTAGAACAAGTTCTTTCCTCATCTGTTGTTACAACTTCGGCTGGAGAGAGGGTCCTTCTGAGGCTCCCAGGGGGTCGTTCTGCAGTGGCCCCCCGGGCTCCTGGTTCCGGGGACCCACCATCCAGGCGTAATCTCTTAGCACTCCGCAGTGTCGATGCTAACAACGTTCTTTTCCCACCTGAATCCTGATGAGTCCCCAGATCTCTTGATTTCTCTTGGTTAGAGTCACCACCGGTGCTGCTCCCTGCTTTGACAAAAGCGGTAGAGGCTGATGTGAGAGCTTTGAACCCTTTCATAGCACTGACGGGACCTGGTAAATTCTTGCAGTCAGCAGACGGGCCTCGAGTGAGCTGAATGTTCCCTTTGAGGATGTTGAGGGTCCGGGCCCGGGCAGATAACTCTGGGTACATGGTGTCAAGGATTTTAACGGAATTCTCCTGTGGCCCTCCGGCAGCAGCATGGCCGGATGCACACGGTGGGAGTCTGCCAGGCACCGGGAGTGCGTGCTTTGGTGTGGCCGCACAGAACTGCAGCGGAGATGACACTATCCTGTCGCCGGCTGACACCACAGACGGAGATGGGGAAGATCCCGGCGGAGAGGCGCATCTGGGATCTTCGGGCCACGGGGATAGGGCAGGAGGCACCGGGATTTCGCTCAAGGGAGAAATCTGGCCGGGAGAGGTTGGTGAGGAAGGACTAGAACTCGATACAAGCGGAGAAAGTGGCTGTGAAGTCCTTGGAGGCGTAGCTATCAGAGGAGCAAGCAGGGGAGGCAAAGGAGGCCCTACTTCCTGCCGTATTTTACTCAGAGTGTCAGGAGAACAATCTGTAGGAGTAGATGTATCAGCATTTGCCAAAATGGTTTGAGTCTGACTTCTTTGAGCTTTTACACTACCTTTTTCCCCTGAAAATGACTGAGAAATTTCACTCTGATGAGTTTCAGCCTTGCTTGATAATGAAGTCTTTACTGATTTGCTTGCTTGATCTTTGTTAGAAATCTTTGATCGACTCTTATTTTTGCCAGATGTCTCTAGTTTCGAGTTATAATATGTGTGATCAGATGCAACAGTCTGAGCCTCAAAGTCTTGATCATATATTTTAGAACTAATCCGTACACTAGGCTTAACAGGTCTATTCCGCAAACGACTTTTATCAAAGTTGGTGCTCTGACCACTGCTTGAAACATCCTCTTGGGGACATGAAAGGTTACTGCCACATGCAGGTTCCTGAAATGGAGGGCCAGTGTGACTGGTCCCTGGGGACTTCTCAGCAAAAGTCACTGGGATGCAAACAGCTTCCAGCTCTCCTTGGTCCTGAGAAACAGGCATGTCTCCAGAAGTGTCAAACAGTGTAACCTGGTCCACATGTGGCAAGACGGCTATGCCACTGATGATTGTCCAGTTGTCCCCCTTTTCAATGACCAGATTCTGACCCTTATTTATAAGTACATTTATAACTTCTGAGGTCACTGTCGAGATCTGACACTGAAATGTCGTTTCAGCCTCGGAGCACAAACTTTGCTCTGTCCTTGGTTCTGCTATGGAGTCAGAGCATAGGACTGCCAGTTCCACTGGTTTTTCCAGGCCCTCTTCCCCACTTGTCTGCCTGTTTGCATCTGAATTCTCCTCTGGCCTGCTCAGAATGTCTTCACTAGGCCTACCACTAATGGCAGAGCTGCAGCTCGTGTCCAAGTCAGTGGGCAGTGGGGCTGGTTCTGAAGAGTGTGATGGGGAGCCAGTCGCTTCCTGAGATGAAACTTTTTCTTCTACATTTTCAGTTGCCATGTTGTTTTGTATATCTAAGAGCAGTAAGTTGCCAGTATCTTTACCACTGCAATCTTCATGACTTGTCTGCAGTTCTTGCCCAATCTTGCTGAGAACCTCAGACAGTGTTTCCAAAGAAGACTGAGTAAGCTGACTTGCGTTTTTTAAAGAACAATTTTCTTCTTCTGATTCAATCCACTCTTCGGAGATTCCAAGTGTTTCCTCTTCACAGGGCTGCTTCCTGTATTTATCTCCTGATATTTCACTCTGCTTTAATTCTTTGTTCATTTCTTTATTTAGGGTTCCTTTACTAGAACATTCTGAAACAGAGTCCCCTGAACTGTAATCCCCTAACTGACAACTCTCAAGAAACATAACCACCTCTGATGTAGACAGCCTGTCTAGCTCAGAAAAAGTACTTATATTAAAATCTTGCAGAGCTGAGGTCAAATAAGCTAGCTCTAAGGAAGGCTTCGTCTCAGCCGCTCCGGCATCTGCATCTCCTGAGTCCTTCTGCGAGTCGGCAGCAGTGCCACTATGCTGTTCACAGCCCACCACGGCTTCAGGCTCATGCTCACCCTCACTGCAGCTAAATGCCTCACTCTCTACCTCAGTGTCCTCATCTCCTCCCTCCCGAATACCTGTGTAGCAATGCAAAGTACCAGGAAGGCTACTTTGGGAGACATCCTGTGTCTCTCCATCTTTTCTGCAAAACGCTGAAGAAAAAGCAGTGCCTGTGGTGGTAAACCATTCCGGAAAAGTACCACCAGTTTTAGACGTCAATTTCTGAAGCTCATCAGCATCTTGCGGTGTGCTAGGAGAGTCACTTGCGAAAGCCAGAGACTCGCCATGAGGAGAGTCGCTTGTGACGGCCAGAGCCTCACCATGAGGAGAGTCGCTTGTGACGGCCAGAGTCTCGCCATGAGGAGAGTCGCTTGCAACAGCCAGAGCCTCACGAGGAGAGTCGCTTGTGACAGCCAGAGTCTCGCCTCGAGGAGAGTCACCTGCAACAGCCAGAGTTTTGCCACTGGATGCCCCTGGGTCTCCACAGGGGGTCTCCTCAACAGGCACACTGCCAGGCGTTGTCACTTGCGTGGCTGGGAGCTGCTCACTGCCACCCACCCCACTCGAGTCTGTGTCCACAGCATGCAGAAGCTGCCTTTGCTTCTGCACCTCACTCTGCACTGCCGCTTCCCCTGCCATGTCTTGGTTTTGGAGGAGGATGTTTTCAGAAGAGAAAGACAACCTGTCATTTGTGGAACAGTCGGAATATTCTACTAGGGAAGAACCACCTGGGGAACAGAGATCTAATTTTCTCCTGGAGGAGGAAATTCCTGGTGAAGGGCTTTTCACAGCAGCCACCTCCTTGGTATCTTGTGTTGTATCCTCTTTGACTCCATATTGTGTGACAGAGGACACCTGATCAGTTCCATTATTGCTGTTTTCTGTTACTAAGGCAGGCTCATTCCCATGTGGTCTCAAGTGCTCCAATGAAGCACTCTTAATCTTTTCAGGTCTTGCCTGCTTTGTGATAACTGATACTTGATTAGGCAATAATGAAGCAGTCTTAAATTCTACAGGATTGTTATCTTCTCTGGGAGAACCGAGTTTGGGTGTTGATCCTCTATTCTGGAGGGATGGTGTTGGCTTTTGTAACTGGTTATTAGTCTTTTGCTCATGTTCTGATTTAGATCTCGGACGTTCTTCACTTCTGTGTAATAAATCACTATGATGCCAAGAAGTGCTTTTAACAAAATCCAAGCTCTTGCTCAAGCCAGCCTGAGAACCTGCCACTGATGTGAATCCTGGCTTACATAGTGGCAGCTTAGCTCTTGAATCTTGGCTTTCACATTGTCTATCTTTTGTAGCTTTCATAAATACTGACTGAGAAAGTGAATGGATTTTGGTCATGCTTTTTACAACTTTTGAATGTGCTATCTCACTGCTCCTCTGGTCATTAAAATTAGATGCGCCCAATTCGGGGCTCAGAGCACGTGAACTATTCTCCAGGTTGCGTCCTCCCATTGGACACTCTGGTGGTTCAGACTGCAGGTGTAACGTGCCTAAAGTTTTTGTTTGTAATTTTTGTTCTGAATGATGCAGCTCAGTAGAGAATACTTTTGTTGGAATATTTCTGTCATCACCATATTCTATCCCAGAAGACTGAGGAGTACTGCAAACAGACAACGTGACCAAAGTAGAAGAGGATGAAAAACTGGTTTCCACATCCATTGCATCCCCTGCATCATCTTCCGATTCAGGTGACTCTCCTAAAATGAACCCTTGCAAATCTTCTTTTTCCTTTTCCATTTCTTTAGAGAGTCTCTGAAAATGATCAGAAACTGTTATACAATCTGATTCAGAAGTGATTTCATTAGTTAGTGTCCACGTAGTCAACTCTGATTTGGGTGATCCTATCATTTTGGGCAATAGGCTTTTTTCTCCAGATTTGATGACTTCACTTAACGGCCTCTTGCCAAGTGGAGTACATACCAACTCTGCCTTTCCAGTGGCAGCTCCCTTCTCCTGTGTGGGGCGGCCAGACGATTTCCCAATGCACAGACTTGGTGAGCATTGATGAAGTATTTCCTCAGTTTGCACTGACTTATCCATCTCCCTAACCTCGGTTTGTCTTTTTGCAGCATGTAAAATGTCTCTCTTTCTGTCACTCATGAATTGAGAGGACACTGTCCAGTGTTTTTCACCAGCTAAAGAATATGTGGCTGAAGGCTCTCTCAGAGTGGCTGTGAAAGTCCCAAATCCAACGGTTGTCACTGTGTTTCCCCCCAGTGTATTCAGAGTCTGGCGAGCTTCGTGTGATTTGGGCCTTTCCTCTCGTGCGTCACTTCCTTTGCTTTTTCCTAATGAGCCAAAATAATTCTGGGATGCAGTCATATCATCTTCTGAAACGGACTCAGCAGAATTTCTAGGCTGGGCTGAGTCATTATCACTGGAATCTATGCACTCTCCAAAGTAGTTTTCCTGAAAAAAACACAAATTATACTAGTCAAACACTAACCTGACAGACTAAACAGGACTATCAATTAAATGCATTAAAATATATACTAGTCAAACACTAGGTCAACAGACTAAACATGACTACAAATTAAACGTGCTTTAAAAAAAAGTACAAGCTTTCTGAAGACTCTATCCAGACTCTAGACTCTCTGTTGGTGGCCAGGGAGCTCCATTTCTGCTGCAACACTGCTTCATCCCCTCCTCAAAGCTGCTCAGGCCTTCCCAGAGGTTGCCCTTCTGACCCCCAGTAACAGACACAGTTCGCAAGCCACGCCCCACTTCACACAGGGCTGAGGTTATATTTGTCTCTTAACTTCCACACTCTTACTTCCCTATCTTCAAGTAACAAAGATATTCGGCCTCTGGCTACACAGCCCTCTACTTTCCCTGCCTCCCACTCATCAGACGCGTGCCATCGTTACAAGGGTGTCTTGTGGATGTCTTCTGCCACGTCTCCCCTCACATCCTCACATCAGTGCTATCTCCTGGCTGTTGTCTTCATCCACATCTGTGCCACTTTACACAGCTCTCCCTCCCAGTCCCTGTTCTTCAACCATCTCTGCCCTAGAAACCCTCTCTGATCCCCAACGAGGCCCTGCCTACTGAGTCAGCTGCCTCTAGGATGGGGCCACTGGGACAGCGCTAACAGCAGAAGCATCTTGCCTCTGCATGAGTACGGGGCAGGCTGATGAAGATTAAAAACTGACAACTTACACGCGCTCCCACGGAGAGAATTCTTTCCTCTCCTCAACTCCAAAACATCATTATGTCCTGCTTTCCTCTACTCTCCTGACACAGTTTTCAATCTCCTTTACTCACTCCTCTTCTTTGACTTCTCACTTACGTGGGGACAGTCCCCAGGATTCCACCTGGGACTCCGTATCTTCTTCTCCTCCTACACCGTGTTACTGGTGACATCAGAGTTATCTGGCTTCTGCTGCAGGAGTGTGGCCCCACACAGCACACCCTAGGATCTACACCGCTGTGAACAGTCCCTCATTCACGCCTGAAACTCAGTGTGGGCCCCTATCTTCAGAAGCACTTTGCACCCCCACCCTGCCCTGGCTTCCATTCAGGACCGAGCTTCATTTCTCTGTCCTTCCCAGCACTGCTGGGCTCACACAGCATTGCAGTCATCTGCTCCCTTGCCAGTCCACCTCCACACAACAGACCTGACCCAGAGGCAAGTGCATCTTCCACCATCTCCACATTCCCGGGACCCGGCCTAACGGAAAAAAGGGACCCCAAGGAGCAAAACACTCATCTGTCCCTTAAGGCAAAGAGTATACCCATCTACTTCATCAAGACTACCTTCCTAAGAAACTACTATAAACCATTTGGCAAACAAAAGAAAAGACACGAATTCGTCGAAGGTAAAGTCAGAGAACGCAGCTGCATGAGGTTAACGGGCATGCAGGCTATATATATGGATTTCTAGATCACTGTAAAGCTCCATGCACACACAAACACATAACTATTTCTTTAAACTTCTGGTCCTTCTTCTGTCTCCAGTGCCCTCACCCCCTCTGGTGTCATCACCTCACCTGGGTTCCTTGCCTTCTTCACTTGAACCTGTCTGTTATGTGCCAGGCACCGGGATAAAAACAAACAATTAAGACACAGTCTCCCTACAAGAAACTTGTAATCTGGTTGTGGATAAAGACTAATAGGAACGCATGACACAAAGTGCAGCCATTCATACTGTATGTGTTCATCCAAAGGGTACTGGCTTGCCTTTTAAAATTCTCATGAGGCCCCCTAACAAAATTGGCTAAAATGAAAATATTCCCCGAAATACCCATAATATCCTTTGATAGTCAATGACCGAATAGACAAAGTACCCACTTGGTAATTCAAACTCAGAGTGCAAAACTCACAGGCTCAAGTGAAGAAGGCAAGGAACCCAGGTGAGGTGATGACGCCAGAGGGGGTGAGGGCACTGGAGACAGAAGAGGGGGCGGACGTTTGAAGAAGTCAATTGCAGCTTGCAGATCATCATCTAAAAAATGATCATGGTCAGAAAAGCCAGTGCTGTCGCTGTCACTGTGACCTGGCATTAAAACCTCAGGATTCCCATCCTCATTAAAAAGACGGTCAGTTCTATAATGTAGTCTGCCAGGCCTCTCTTTTTCCACATTTTTACATGAGGAAAAATCTCCCTGTATCTCCATGGACAGTTTTGTGAAGCATGTCTGTACATCTGAAGTCCCGAGAGGACTGCCTTGCGCTGGAGGTAGCATGTCATCTTCCCCAGGAGCTCTGGATTCGGTGATTTCTTTGACAGGTGTTTCTGTGGAGAAAGAAAGGTAGACATCAAATATTTCCAATATCAAGAAAACTTTTAAAAAAAACTTACTGAAACAGTTCAAAATGCTTGCAATATTGATGAAGTCTAAGTGGAAATTTTTTTTTAAAGGCAACCAATCACTTTCTCAACATGATCCTAGAAGAACTGAGTATGCTTCTTAAGTATGCCACTTTTCTTGCAGTAAAAAAAGTGAGATGGACAGGGAGGTGAATGAATGAAAGAGACAAGCCACCAGCACACCAGCAGCATGATGCAGAGGGGAAAGGCAACGGATGCAGTGAAAGGGGCCCTCCTAACTCACCCATTCTCTTGGTACACCTTGCCACGCAACCAGAATCTGGCAGAACTTTGTTGATAGGGACACTATTTTCTTTGCCCAAAAAGTGATCTGAAATCAACTGCTATCAAGCCTGCCTATGGTCAATGTCTACACAGTGTCCTGAAAGACCTAAGGAGATCACATGAGTGCTTAGCATGATAATTCAACAGAAGAGTTCCCATAAAAAGTCAATCCTTTTGTGTCTTGATATTGGTGAACTTCAGCAGTACTAATTATTAGCAAAAGTACATGGGTCCATACCACTTGTTATAATTGAAAGTTTTACAGAGGATCCAAGACTCCTTGGAGAAGCAGTGGATTATAGGCTGGGGAGGGAAAATCTAAGTAGAGACTAAAACATCTTGCAGTAGCAGAAAGTAAAAACTCAGAAAAGGATGGGTATGTATAAAGGGCCCAAGAGCCAACCTAAAGACGTGCCCACTAAAGCCAGAGCAATTTAAGCAATAAATAATGACAGCACTGAATTACAATGTACAGAATAAAATAAGATCTATGAGACTTTACTAGTGTAAATGAATAAGTTAATAAATAAATGATGGAGAAGGAATGGCTCTTCCTTACAGAAGAATTGCAATTAAAAAATTGCAGAAAGAATGAGATAAATAAAAAACTTCTTTCTGGCAAACACCAAAGCAGTAACTGTAGTAAGCAAGATCAATTGATGGATGCTAAAATCAGTGGTGAAAACTGTAGAGAAATAGAAAACTTGTATAATGTCAAAGAATCTTTCTAATTAACGTTAATTAGGCAAGGAAAAAAAAAACCCAGCAACCTTACAATAGAGAAGTCTGCAGACACCACTTTAAACAAGTGATCGAGATTACCATCCTCAGTGATAGCACGGACCCACATCACCTACCCCAAGGGAAACACCCTCACATAGTGTTCTCGCCAGAAGCACTCAAACTCAATCCTATACGAAAACGTCAGACAAGTCAAAATGATAGGCTTTCCACAAAAGAAACACTCTCCCCAGGTGTCAGCAACATGAGAGACAAGGAAAAATAGAGGAACTGCCACACTTAAGGAGAGGAAAGCAAGGTAACGACTAGAGCAACGTGGGGTCCCAACAGGGTCCTGAAATGGAAAGACTTTAGTGAAACTGGCGAAATTCACAATTCAGTTAATAGGATTGTGCCAAATGTTCTGGGTTTGATCACTGATAATAAAAAAATGTTAAAATTCAGGAAATCTGTGCAAGGGGTCCAAGGAAATTTTCTGAACTATGAACGTAATAGACTTATCTCTCTCAAGTATGTTTTTAAATAAAAGCATCAGATTATAAAATGAAGGGCAGCCTTTTAATAACATCTTAACAATATAAAGTGTTTAAAATAGACCTGACTGACAAAGAAGATGAAAAGAATTCGCAGGTTGCTTCTGCCTGAAGACAGACACGTAAGCTCTAAACAAAAGCAACTTATTTGAGAGTTGCAGGCACCACCTGGTTCCTACTGATGCTGTCATTCATAAGAAAACTGAGGAAAACATCTACTTAAAAGAACCCCATAAAATATGCCCCCTACACTGGACAACTACTGAATCCAAAACAAATAAGAATCAGTAACTTGCCCATTAGCATTTATTGCAAAGAAACTTTATCTTCAGAAACCTGAGAGGAAAATTAGGTGCATAAGTTTCTACAGATTTAGATTCTCAAAGTCCTACAAATTCACAGCAGCTAATCATAAGAAATTAGTAAAAAAACAAAGTTAAGGAAGAAGCAGATTCACTTTATACGAGACAGCTGTCTTCTCCCCTTCCTCTTAGAATGACTAATGACGATTTCCAAATCCTAAGTCAACTGTAATGGAGAACACAGTAGAACACCTCCAGGACACCCGACTGCAAATCAGGATGTTCAACCCAAGGAACTGTCAAATTATGTAAAAGTGAATTCAGCTAAACTGCTGATGGAATCACCAGACTCACAAAATGATTCATAAAAAAAAACCACCTCCCTCAAGTCTTGCATATATACCTGCCATTGATGCCCTGCTCCTTGTCCTTCCAGTTTCTCTCAATGTTCTCTGATAAAAGCTAAATGCACTTAGTGAGATTAGAAGTCACACTGAGGAGAAATGAGTTTTGTAGAACTAAAAGCATCCACTCATTCCAGCTTATTTCATTCCTTTAATGTCAGAATCAGGATGTATTAAAAACTGAAGGCTAGCCGGGTTCGGTGGCTCAGCCTGTAATCCCAAACTTTGGGAGGCTGAGGTGAGTGGATTGCCTGAGTCCGCAGGTTCGAGACCCACCTGGGTAACTTGGCGAGACCTCATCTCTACAATAAATCAAAAAAATTAGCCAGGTGTGGTAGTAAGTGCCTGTAGTTCCAGCTACTTTGAAGGCTGAGGCGGAAGGATTGCTGGAGCCCAGCAGGTCGAGGCTACAGTGGCCAGGAGCGGCCACTGCACTCCAGTATGGGTGACAGAGTGAGACACCATCTCAAAAATAAATAAATAAATAAAATAAAATAAAATAAACCAAAGGCTGCAATGCCTATGGCAAACATCTCTACCTTTTCATATGAAATGAATTTCTGTAAACTTTTCTCACCTGGGACACATCTGCTGCCCTCACCAGGGAGTCTATGTGTTGTATTGACACAGAGCCAGAGTTCCTTCAGAAGCAGTTTTACTTTTCCTGTGAAAAAGAGTAAAGCATTAAAGTCATGTCACTGGGCTCAACCTTTATAAGACCAAAACATGCCTCTGTAAAATCAGGACTTATTAGGAACTTAGAAAGCTAGGTAACATAAGTATCTTCCCCAAACTCAACCACTGCATAATTCAGTTAGTTATTGATGAAAAGGTTATCACCTCTTAATGTATGCATGTAACAAATGACTCTGGCCCATACATTTTCACCGGAGTGCTTTGAGACAGGGGAAGGAAACACTGTTATGATCAATACAATATAAGGAATTTGGGATCTATGCATTTTAGAGGAAATAGCAGAGAAGCAACCCTCAGTTATATGAGGTTTCAGAAAAAGCACCAGAGTTAACCATGCTGTGATTAATCTGGGGAGTATAAGGATTATAGAAAATCCACCAACAGACTTGTGTGAAATGGAGTGGGAGGCAAAATGTATGTGTGTATAAACATATGGAGAGGAACCGATCATCACACACACAAGCAAAAAAAGAAGAGGCACGTGTTTTTATAAGGAAAGTAAAACTTTTGGGATTTTTATACATTTTCAAAGGAGTATAAATTCCTAAATGATTAAGAATCACTAATTCAAGCTGAAAGGCCAAGGGGAGTTATAACTAAGACAGTCCTAATTAAATTAATATCACATTAAGAATATTATGCTGTGGTTTTAAAGCTTGTTTAGCATTGTTAAATATACAAATTCCAAAAAAAAAACTTTCCAAAGCAAAAAATATTCATGAAAATATAAACTTAATAGCTGTGGTGGAATATGCGTAAAAAGACAACCCATACTAATTAAAATTCAACTAGAAGTAGCTTAAGTATTATTAGTTATGTTTCAGGTCACCACCTCAAGGTTCTAGTACAGTTTCCTTGGACTTCAGCTTTTATATTAACCTTAAGCATTTATTGAAGTTAGTGAAATCCTTAATCCAGTTTCAATAGAGGCTAAAAAGACCAATATTTTAAACCAAAACATCTCCAGGAAATCACATATTTTGAAACAGGTTAGCCCTATTTAAGTTGGAAAACTGCATCACTCCAAAAAGCGAAATCCACAGAAAGAGGACCAGGATGCATGTAGAGGGCAGTTACAGGTCAATTTGAAAGGTTGGACATTTATTTCCACCTCTTCTGAGCCAAATCCACCTTCTGATATTCACTGTTGTGAGGCACATCCATTTCTGAGTTCCAAAATTCTGTGACCAAGTAGCTTATCTACATTGTGATTTAACCTACCCAAAAGCCTGCTTCCAAATACTGTAATCCCCTTTGCTTAAGTGACCTGACCAGGATCCCTGCTTATTACGTATACCCAAAGCAGCAAACAAGGAACCTTAAAAAAAAAGAAAAAAAGTTACTTTTCCATTCCATATGGAGGCTATTAACCAGAGCTATGCCTATTCTAATCGAGCACTCATGACTTTTAATCTAACCAAAAAAACGAAATAAAACCTATCAAGTCCCAACAAGCAGGAAAAAAAATTCTTCAGTGTAGTTTCATACTTAGTTGTGATAACACAGCCTTAAATTGAACTGTACACCCTTCCCTAATCCCTTAAAATGCTTCCTTTATCAAACTCTGAGGCATTTATGAGTATTTCTGGACTTACATATTATTTAGAAGTTTCTTTTGTACTTCATTGCTTTGTCAGTTTCTCTACCACTGCCACACTTGGTTAATCACAACAGGTTTTAATATCTGCTAGGACATGATTCTTGCAGTTTCTCTCTTTTTCAAAATTTTATTACTCCAAACATGTATTCTTCTCGATAAACTTTCACCATGTTTGCCCTTTTCCACAGAAAACCTCAAGATTTTGAGTGAGACTGTATATAGTATTTATAAATGTATTTGGGGAAAGTTTATGCTCTCAGTCTTCTCCATTCAGGAGCATAATGCTGACATGTATAGAGGTCTTCATTAATGCTCTTCGGGGATGTTGTATAGCTTTACTCGTAGAGATACCACACTTATCTTAGGTCTTTTGCTGCTGATTCGGGTGTCAGCTGAGCATGCGTTGTTCTTATTTCAGTCCTTTTCTAACGGGTAAGTAACAGAACATTGTATACGTTCGCTGCATATGCCGTTGCTTGACCAAGCTCCTTTACTTCTAGTTCTGTTTCTAGCAAAGTCATCTGGATCTTCTACATTAGTCAGATCATTTAAAATAATGACAATTTTGATTTTTTCTTATTAGTATTTAGAGCTCCTACTCTTCTGTGTTTATTTTGCTACACTGGTTAGGGCCTCCAGTATATAAAGAACGGAAGTAACAAAAAGCATGCTTGTCTTCTTTGACAGTACTGCCTACAATTTTAATGCTTCAGCTTTTTCAAGTTAAAATTGTTTTTTCCATTACATCACCAAATTTCTTTTTTTAAATCAGGAATGGATGCTGAATTGAGATGATCATAACATTCTCTGAACCAGTTGTAGTATTCCTGAGATAAATCCATAAAGCATAATTTGTCTGTATACTAAATTATTCATGGATTTGATTCTTAAGATCTTCTTTAGCATTTTTGCAACCGTATTAGCAAGTGGCAAGAGTTGAGTCTTGAGGATATGGGCGCACATTATTCTTATTTGCTTCTAGTGCAGGGTTATGCTTGCCTAAGAGAATAAAATGGAAACATGCCTTATTTCCTAAGGTCTGAAACAAATAAAGATACTAGTTTTTCGCTAGAAGTCTTCACAGGACTCATGCATAAACCATCTGGAATTATTATGGTGCTAGATCTTAAAAATATTTTTAAAAATTTCTTCTGGGTTATTTTCTGTACAGGTTTGTCACGTTTTCCTAGAAAATGGTTCATTTCATCTACATTTTCAATCTGAATATGAACTCATAAATTAAGAAATTTCTCTACTCAGTCCTGATATTGTTTTCTTCTTTCTTTCTTGTTTTTTCCTCTGAGTTGGAGTCTCACTCTCATCTCCTAGGCTAGAGTGTAGTGGCATTATCATGATCACAGCTCACTACAGCCTCGATCCCTGGGCTCAGGCGATCCTTCTACTTTAGCCTCATGAGTAGCTGTGAATACAGGCACACACTACCATGCTGGGCTAATTTTTGATTTTTTTTTTTTTTTAAAGACAAGCTCTCATTGTGTTGCCTAGCCTGGTCTCGAATCCATAGACTCAAGCACGCCTTCCATCTAGGCCTCCCAAAGTGGTATAATTTTTTTTTTTTTGAGTTGGAGTTTCACTCTGTCACCTAGACTGGAGTGCAGCGGCCGCTCCTGGTCACCGCAGCCTCGACCTGCTGGGCTCCGGCGATACTTTCCGCCTCAGCCTTCCAAGTAGCTGGTACTACAGGCACGCACTACCATGTCCGGCTAATTTTTTAATTTATTGTAGAGATGAGGTCTCGCCAAGTTGCCCAGGCGGGTCTCGAACCTGCAGGCTCAGGCAATCCACTCACCTCAGTCTCCCAAAGTGCTGGGATTACAGGCTGAGCCACTGAGTCCGGCTAAGTGCTTTGATTAAAGGGGTGAGTAAACACGCCTGGCCTGGTATTGGGTTCCCCCCTTCTTTTCTTGACAACACTTGCCAAAGAGTTGTTGGTTTTACTAGCATTGCAAAGACCTAGCTATCAATTTTAATTGTCCTAAATCAATAGTTTTTTTTCCTATTTCATTAACTTATTTGCATCTTCATGAATTCTCTTCTTCAGTTAAACACTTCAGTCTCTGTATTTCTTGCTTTCTAAAACATTCACTTAAGGCCATAAAATAGTCCTTTCAATATCAAAGAAATAAGCTATATCTCAAAGGTCTTAATAAAAAATATCCTACTGTTTATTTCCAAAATAGTTTAGTATTTCACTTTTATTTTCTGTTACCCAAGAGAGGTTTGAGTTTGTATGAGTTTACTATTAGGTAAATTTTGTAGGTTTTCTTTATTCAGGGGGATTTTTATTAATATCTCAAATTGCATTTTTTTGTTGTTTATTTACTAGTCAACTTTTACATATGTTTGAAAACTATTTTAAAGAACTCCAGGTATGTGGTTTATAAAGAACTGTATGTAAATTATCAATCTCAGAATTGTGATTCCAGTTCCATCTCCTGTCTCTTTTTTCTCTATTTGTAAAAAAAAAGAAAAATACATGGAAGTCTCCCATGATTAAAACAGGCTTGGCTGGAAACTCTCCCCAGAAATTCCAAAATCTTTGCTTGACAGTTTTATGCTTTTAGTTCCCTAACAGTAGTATCTTCTTGGTGAACTGCACCTTTAACCAACCTTTTAATCTTGTAAATTCATCTTTTAGTTTGAATTACTTTTTTTCTTATATGACTGCTTTCATGTCAGCATTGCTCAGAGTTATCTTTCTCCTTTCCTCTGCATTCATCTTCAATCTGTCTGCTTCTTTTGCTTTTAGATATATTTCCTCTGAGCGTCTCAGAGGTGGAGACTGTACACCAAAGTCCTGCTCAACACTTGCTGGGCCCTAAAAATAGGAGTGTGTTTTCTGCTCAGGGAAGTTTCCTTCCAGCACTTCTTCATAACTTTTTTCCTTGTTGTTCTGTTCTTCCCTCTGAGAAGTTCTAATAGATGAACACTGAGACATCGGGCTCTCTCCTCCAATCCTTTCACTTTTTCTAATATTATTTTGTTCGTCTCTTTGCACCACGCTCTCAGAGATGCCGACAGTTTAATCTTTTGATTAGCTGAATGGACCTTTTATTTGTCCATCCAATATTTCCACCTTTCTACAGGGTCTATTGATGAAACTGCATTTTCAATTTTCAAGACGCCCAATTCAACAATGTCACAGCAGTAGCCTATAGACTTTCTCTAAGAACACGAATTCCACTTTCAGTATTTCTTCTCATTCATCATCTAAGATATTTCTCCAGTCTTCTTGCGTCTGGTGCCTTTCTTTCTTGTCATTGCTTTTTCTCAAGCTTAGATGATAGATTAGGCAGAACATCTCTGGTAGCCAGAGTATATTTCTTCAGCTTACATTTTTAGTTTATTCCTTTGGCAATCAACGCTTTCTCATTTCGTACACCTATAGGACTCTGCATGGGCGTGGGGAGCATGGTGAGTGGATACAGTCATGAGGGTTTACATGGAGCATGTAAACATCTCATATTCTAGGAAGAGGAGGGGCTATCTTTTTAAGTAGCCTTAGCTACCCAATTTTCTGATACCTATACCCACTCTGAGTAGCTCCCATGTCACAGCTAAAGCTTCAGAAAACTAAAATGGGGCCCTACTTTAGCGGCAAGGGCCAGAAACAGTTTTTGAAGCCAAAACGTTGGCACACTTTCCACCCTTTAGTCAATTACCTGGCAAATGCTAATGTCCTGCTCCTTCTCCCACTCCCTGCCATCTCTGATGTGGGTAAACTCCAGGCTTCTGCAATGAAAACTTGCTTTTTGAGAGCTGCTATTTTCTCTGTGATTGTGGGTTTCATCACCAACTGATATCACCTGCTGTACACCTTCCTAATTCACTTCCTCTATTGATGATAAGCTTTTTAATTATTCAGGACAGCGATTGTTTTATTTTTGCCATTTTTATTGGAATGTGAAATGAAGGAAAGGCAAAGTGACAATCAGGCAGCCTGTCGGTCAAGTGAAGCCAGCCTGATACTCTTTAGTGCCTAACTGGCACATCTTTTCCATAAGTCAAGTATTAAGGTAAAGTGTTAACAATACACTTAAGAACTAGATATTAAAACCATTACGCCTATCAGCAGACTCCAAAAGACTTCATTTATCTATCTGGAAAAAAGTAAAATATAAACAGACAACACCGCTGTCCTCATCATGACGGTAGATAAAAATAAAACGATTTCACTTGAAATAGTGACAAGTAACTTGAAAAAAATAAAACAGATTGTAGGGCTAGAGAGCAACTACACAAAGTGGGGGGAAGTGCTCTGCTTTGAGGAGTAAGGCCTAGGAAGAGCTGAACCCTAAAACAAATCTGTGCATCCTAAATGAGAAGACAAGTCAATTCCACAACTGGCTGCTGGGTGGAAAGCAGCATGCTGTCAAGCTTTCTGTTTCTCTCAGCAACACCTATCACTTCAAGTCTCAAATCTCATACCCAAGAGTGTGAAGAACAGAGTCAAAGCACAGGGAACTGACACATCAGGGATAGGTTAGTGACCAGTCAGTGTGCAGGCAACTGAAGATGAGAAGTGTAAAAGTCTTAGGCCATGGAAAACATGAACTTGTGCTCTGAATTAAATTTTAAAAATTAAGGAAAAAACGTAAAGATGACTTCCCAAGAGACACTATACACTTGCACACAATTTAAGTGTTTTAAATCATTTCCACTTGGAAGAAAAACAACACATTAAGTGAGATGAAAATACCATTATTTACTTTGTAAACATTTTAAATGCACCCCCCCCAAAACTTGTGGGATAGAAAAGAAATGCAAATTCATACTTTCCATTTATTTATCTGTTTGCTTTATTTTTTTGAGTTGGAGTCTCACTCTGACATCCAAGCTGAAGTGCAGTGGCATAATCACAGCTCACCATAGCCTCTATCTCCTGGGCTCCAGGAATCCTTCCACCTCAGTCTCCCAAGTAGGTGAGGCTACAGGAGAGTGCCACCACACCCAGCTATTTCTTTTCTTTGCAGAGACAAAGTCTCACTAAGTTGCCCAGGTTGGTTTCAAACTCCTAGCCTTAAGTGATCTTCCTGGTACAGCCTCCTAAAGTGTTGGAATTACAGGCATGAACCATTGCATCTGGCCCAATACTCTCCATTTTTAAAAGGAAAAACAAAAAAACACAAAAAAGGGAAGTTAAGTAGCCAAGGGTCAGACAGCAAATGGCAGTGTTAAAGTGAAAACTCCAATTTCTCACTTTCTAGTGCTATGCCTCCTCATCTCTATGTAAGACAATGCACTCAACAATGGAGGGTACATGTCCAAATTTGTAGTACCCTGGGCTATGACCATCACTTTACCTTTCCTTTTACCTTAGGGCCTTTCCTAAATTATTCTGTCTTCTGAAAATACACAATGGGACTTCTGACTCTTTCAATCACTGTATTATCTTATAAGACAAGAAAGTGATTATATATTTGGATGTAATGAAGACCCAAAATAATATGACTTCTAACATGAAACATCTACTAAACCCTCACATTTTCACAATTATATGAAAAGCAGCATGCAGCCTCCTAAATCATTTAAAAAGTAACATACAACATTAAAACCAAAGTTGCAATATACTCACTTTTATCGATGCTTCCATATGAATCACTTGAAATTTGTGTTCCAATATGTTTCAACTCTAAAAATATGGGAAAAAAGTAGTTTAAAAAATACTGCATGTCTAAACAGAACTTTTACGTAAGCATTAACTGAATACTCACCTTTCTCATTTTTCTGTTTAGAAAATTCGTCAAGTCTTTCCTGTGAAAAGAAAACACTAACAGTGTTTATGCTGAATAAGGAGTGTAGCCATTGTAGACCAAATGTAGAAGAGGTCCAACAGGTAAGTGTGACTGTTGGCCAGGTGGCCTCAAGCCTGGTTTCTACATTGAGCTGACAAACAAGAGACTCTATGGGAGCCCTGTAGCCAAAAGTTTAAGATATGTGTGCATTGCTTTTATCTAGTACCTGTGTCTTCTTAAATTCCTTTTCAAGTATTTTCTTTTCATTTCTCAGTTGCTTAAAGTCCTGAGTTTGCTTGACGGCAGCCTCTTTATATAAAAAGTGCAATGAAACAAGACAGAGAAAAATAATTTATTAACTTTACTACTATGGTTAATGAAACTTTGAAACAAATGTTATACAAAGTTACTGCTATTTCAGTATTTTATCAGTTAGGGATGGATGCAGAAACACTTTTTTAAACTGTCATTTATAAAACCACAGAATTGGCACAAGCCTTAAGAATCCTTTTCAAACCAGCACAGCAATCTCAAACCCTTCTAGTCAAGCAAGAATCGAAGGAATAAGAGGGAGATACCGTGGTATCCCTTGTTCTTCCCATTTCAGTAATCAGCAAACTTACAGTGTTAGCTTACAATTGTGATTTTGTCTCAGAATACAATTAGTACCATTGTCTTTTTTTGGTGGTGGGGAGGGGGCAGGCAATCTTCTAAATGCTCATTATAGATATGGTTATTTTTCACTAGAAAGCTCTTTAACAACTAACCATAAAACCCTAATACTTTTATTAGAGATCTACCTTTTATGTATTTTTATAGTTCTTTTGTGAACCTTCAGCAAATCATTCATTCTGGTTTTTGGTTCCAAAGCACTAAATAGTCCAGAAACACTACTAAGAATCTGACCAGTGCTGACTTCACACAAATATATTCATATGCAATTACTAAGTAAAGTAAAATCCCATAAAACACCTTAGCAACAATTCTCTCCTAATTCCTCTTACAAGCTTGAATATTTACCCAATCATCTTTATTTCAAATCATTTACTTTAAAAAAAAGTGTTGCGGCCGGGCTCGGTGGCTCAGCCTGTAATCCCGCGCCTTTGGGAGGCTGAGATGAGTAGATTGCCTGAGCCCGCAGGTTCGAGACCTGCCTGGGCAGCGAGACCTCATCTCTACAATAAATCAAAAAATCAGCCGGGTGTGGTAGCGCATGCCTGTAATTCCGGCTACTCGGAAGGCTGAGGCGGAAGGATCGCCGGAGCCCAGCAAGCGAGGCTGCGGTGGCCGGGAGCGGCCACTGCACTCCAGTCTGGGGGGACCGAGTGAGACTCCAACTCAAAAAAAAAAAAAAAAAAAAAAAAGTGTTGCATAAAAAATAAAGGCTACATTTTGCTTTACACAGATCTGTTCCAAAAGTACATCAGGTCTTTTAAAAACATTTCTTTAAATACAAGAGACACTTATCTTCACATACTAGCAAGAAAACCAATATAAAGAACACCACCACAATGTTGTACTTAGTACTGCCACACTGATAATGTACGTGCAACAAGCAAATCAGAGAAAAAATTGTTACCAAAATGTCTAGAGTTCAGGTCTAAAAATCTTGGCTAATTCCAGGTAAATCAATGACTAGAAATACTCTCTAGAAGCTCCTATACTATACGACCCGATACAACTAAATTCAAGTTCTTCCTTCCCACTCTAAATGAAAATAAGTCATGTCTGAAGCAGAGCACTAGCAGCAGGATGGGTCAGAAACCCACACCAGGTGACTGCAGCAGCAGCCCCGCAGGGATGACGGAAGGCCATATACAGGACAGACCTGGCAGTCCCCTTTTCTCTACCCAGTACTATGTCTGTGTCCCAGCAACACAACGAAGGGAGGAGAAAGCAAACGCAAATGGAAAGATCTTGAGTTTGATTCCTCCTGATTCCTGAGAGGGCTATTAGCTAAAATGTGAGGACTCAGATCTTATGAGACCCTTCTGCACTTTACCTACTCAGTGTAGGCTAGAAGTCCCTAAATAGAGGGTGAGGTGCAGGAGAGGATCAGGGACAAAACGCCTCAGGGTACACAAATTCATAGAAATATCCTAAGCGTGTGTTATAACTAGCTAAATGCACCAGTTTCTTGGTATTAAAACTAGTACCACTTTTAGTAACCGCTTATTGCATAAAGGAAAAAATGAGAAAGCAGCAGGAGATTCAACTTCTGAAAATCAAATCCTTTCATTTACTTGCTGTTTTTTATGGCAAAAGTATGGGCTGCTATGTGCAATAGCATTTCAGTGATCTGCCACATGCCATCTCTCTGTTACTGTCTGGAAATTGAGAGGAGTGCAGTATTCACAATTCTTCCAGTAGACCCTTCATGCAGCCATCCACGGATGCACCATCAGAAACCACAACTCAACCATGTGATGAAGGAGCACAGGCTCACAGTTACCAACGATTTTATGACCAATGATTGCATGAGCCAAGTAACAACAGTGCCAATTACCTTCCAGCTTCTTCACCTTAGCTTCTAGTTTCTTCTTCCTAATAATAAAATGTTACACATTAAATGACAAAAAAAAGTGTAACAGAAAAAACTACAATCTGATAATCTGTGGTACATATTTTTTCAATTACTAAAATCCGTATAACAAAGAAAATGTCAGTGACAACTAAAATCTGACGTCAACAACTGAAATTATCAGCAATTGTTCCGATGGTAGATTAAACCTAAGAGAGAATAATAAACCACTTAGTGTGTAATATCTTTACCTTGGATTTAAAAAATTCTGTCCTCCTCATCTGCAAAATACGATGTAGACCTAACCAGACTGACACAAGCATATCTGGGACCTTCCCTGAAAACATCATCTGTACGCCTAGTTGGTGTGTCCAGATGATCTCCAAGAGCCATTCCAGCATCTACTTAGTTAATGCTACTCTTCAGAAACATACATGAAATTTAGTGTCCACAGCACCACTTTATGTAAGTCAGTGGCTGTACAATTACACTTATTTTTGCTTTAAGATGGATTTCTGAGTGTCTGAAAAGGTAACTCTTTGAGTCACTGCTACATCCATCTACATTCAACTATTGTAGGTATAGCTGACATATTTGTTTTGTGAATGTGAATATAGTATGAACCTCAAAATCAACAGGATGCTTTTGAACATCCCTTTTTACTCATTGTAAAAAAAATTAAGTTCCACATGGTATCCGTTAAGGTGTTGGTGCAAAGAAAGGGGCAGCATCCATGTTTTTACATACACAGACACATGTGCATGGATGTATATACAGACACATAAACTTTTATGGAGTTCTTTGTGCAGGCCTTTAGTATATGCTGAGTTATTTAATCCTCCTTATAACCTGCAAATTTACAAACGTAGAAACCAGGGTTGAACAACTAGTTTAAGACCACACAGCTAATTATGATCTATAGATCCAAAGTCAGATAAAAAAAGAATGATTACTGACTTAAGAATGATCCATTTTCAAAGATAAAAACCCGATTTCTGCAGTTGTTTTAAAATTACTTACTGAGCATCACTTTTCAAGCATTCTTCTTTTACACGAGCATATTCCTGATGAGTATCCTGATACAATTTTAAAGAACTCTAAAAAGAAAGAAAAAAGTCACCGACCACTTTCATAACTTGTTTTGACCTTGATAAGATGGTAAGCTAAATTATCATCCTCTAACAGTGTGAAATTAACCAAATGAATAGATATATTAGGCAGAGAACCAAAGTACAATTCACTGAACATTTTTATACATGTAGTCAAATTGATGTAATATGACAAATAGTCCAATCAAACAAAGCTATAAAGTTTAAAACAATATATTAATTTTACAGCAATTCAAAATCTTTATTACTGATTTAAACATTAAATAGCTAACATTTGTCTCAACTAATTAAAATTCAATTATGACCTGAACATAATTTAGAACTTAATAAATATTAGCTATTAATCCAGTTACGGATAAATATAAAACAAATCAATATACTTAATGGTAACTGGAAAAAAAATGTGTGAACACTATATATAAACCCTGATGGCCACTGTAAAATGGGAAAGACACTGTTATTGAGGATTTTAGTATGGTATAATATGTATATATTTCTATAATATCAGCAAATCTGAGAGAGGGACTTTATTATTTCTTTCTCACAAATGAAGAGTCTGAGGGTTTGACATGCTGACTTATTCTTCCAAAATCACAATGACTGAGTGACTAATTGGGTTTACTAGGGTTTATCATTATGTTCATGTTTCCTCTCAAATATGGCCGTTAAATCATATAATCAGGGAAGACATAACTGAATTGGGATCGTTTCTGTTTAACTCTGACAGCATAGCTAAACATATAATAATAAATTTCTATAGAAATAGGAAAATAAATATGTACTATTAAAGCACATAAAACCTCAGATAATCACATCACTACTAAAACAGCATAATTAGAGGAAGACCAAGAAGCACAAAAACTATCATGAGAAAAGCCTAGAAAGAACACATCAAGAAGTGAGAATCATTCCAGGGTAGCTACAACCTGTCTCATGCAAACCACCTAAATGTACAGACTTCAGATTTTTTTTTTTTAAATCTGTAAAAGTAATGAATTCTAAGATTTCTGTAAGGAGTAAACCAAAACTTATATAGGAAAGCATGTTTATAGCATTTTTAGTAAACAGTTTTATTTCAACTTGACGTGAAAAGAAGTAGAGCATCCATGAAAAGATACACTTATCAGATTTTCCTATCTGAAATGGGTATCTTCTCCCAACGCTCCACCTCGACTCAATAAATATCATCCAAGGGCAACCCCCTCTGGTCCCCTCCCACCGTGGGAACTTTCCTGTCCTGTTTCTCCAAAAAACAAACAAAAACATCCCCCAAAATCAAACACATCACCCACCACTCAGAGTTAAAATAGCCTTTAACCTTAACACTTATCAAAAGAGCATGTAATGTATTACTTAAAGACTCATTTGTGTACCTCTCACAGGCAATGCGAAATACAAGTGACTGCAAAAATAAAAAGACATTTAGCAAAAAGGATCCAATAAAGCTGGTAAGAATATAGAGGTGAAGTATACAGACTCTTTAGAACACCAGCTAGCTTATGAATTATGAGAGCAGGCTCTTTAAAGGACATCTTAACTCACACCAAAGCAGAGGACTTGAGTGCCTCATTCACCACTGGGCTTACCAGGCCTAGACCAGAGCCACTGAAGGAGTAAGATTCTCTCCCACTCTCCATTATATACAATGACTGTTCTACCTTTAAAGTTCAAATTTTTGCAAGTTAATCTACACTTAAGGCCAAAAAAGCGAAAAAGCAATTAATTTTATGGATATATAAACCATAAAAATTCACAGCTAGAAGTTTTTCTCCACTGACCCTCTCAAACAGCATAAGCAACCAACAGTATTGCAGAGTTAATAATCACTGTAAAGACTAAGCCATTAATCAATTAGTTCAATGTTCTCAAAGGACAGTAATACACTTAAGAGTCTTGAGTAGTCTTTATTTCTTTTTTTAACACATAAAAAGTCCCTTTGTGCCAATTATAGTGAAGGATCTGCTTCTAATTTATTGACCATAAATCTTCATAGGAAAATAATTTTAGGTACCTTTTTCTCTTCTAGCTCTGCTTTTAAAGATCCGAGTTCTTCCTGACATTTCTGCAGAGGAGAAATTTTTTGAAGCATCTGTTCTACTTGGTGATGCAGAGTACTATTTTCTCTAAAAATGAACAATGCATTAACATTATTATACAAAAGCATCTATAATGAATTATTAAATATATACACTGAGAATGAGATCTGATTTGTAACTTGAAACAAAAAAAGAATGAAAAAACTCTCTTTCTAAATGTATTCCTTCTATGTACCCCAACATGATCTTCATATTGCTTTTTATTTCTTAGGCAGAGTAGTCTATTTTTTATTAAAGTTTACAAAAAAGCAATGTGAGAAACAAGCAGATTCTTAATCTGCTGAAGAATACAAGTGAAGACTCCCCCCCAAAACAGCATCTATTTATTAAGAATTGTGTATATAGTCTCACATGTTTAAACTTCATGAAGTACTCTCCATTTGATACAATACACCTAATGAGACTTTTTTTTTTCATTACTTAAAACAGTTTCTGAATTTGTCAATTTTGATGCCTTTTAGTGCTTCTGCATTTCACTTCTTCCACCCACATCAGCAAAATATTTCCTTTTGAGGACTTTTTTTATCCAAGAAAACAAAAAAATAGTTGCTTGGAAGATCGGGTGAATAGGGAGGATAGGGTCATGTCACTTTTGGTCAAAAACTGCTGAATACTCAGCATGGTGTGGGCAGGTGTGCTTATAAATCACCCATCATAAAATGGGCAAACATGTTGAAAGAATCTCCAAAACAAAATTCACTAAAGTGGAACACAGCCTCTCACAATGATGCCAGCTGGCACACTGATGTCAGTGGGTTCCTAGAATATTTCCCTAGCTGGGGAAGCCTATACTACAAGGGGCCTATCGTCCAAATATAATTCTGTTTTTTGGCAGGTCCCCCCTTGTATATTAGAAGACAATATGCCAAACAACCTAGGTTTTCCCAGTCTTGAACTCATACCCATTTATTCAAATTAAATGATAAGTAATTCTGTGATTTAGTTTATAACCATGTTTCACCTTTGTCTAAGTGATAAATGTAATCAGATAATGAAATACTGCCAAAATGTTAAGTAGGCCTATTTTAAACTGTTTAAAATAACACAAGATTAAAAAAAAAAAAATTAAATAGTGCGATTTGCATAGACAGTTAACTTGAGAATAAGTGTCATCTCAATGGCAATGTAGTCAGTAAAAGTACTGAAAAGTGAAATATCAGGTTGTAATTAAGACCTTAATAGTAAATTTATTTTAACAGTCTGATGGCAAGAAAACATGCATTTTCTTTTATTATGAGCTTCAAAGCAACACTCTATATTATGCTCTAGGTACATTTTGTTTGAATCTGTTTAAATGTCTACTGAGATAAACATCTACCCCAAATCAACTACTCAAACAGGTGGTATCATCAACTATGAAAACAGGTTGGCTCACCTTCTTGCAAACTGCAGCTGTAAAACTTATTAAAGAAAACTCTCAGAATTTTATCTTGATACTTATATGGAGATAAAACTCACTTTACAATTATCCATAATCTCTGTTCAACATACATATAGGCAAGATTGTAGATCCTAGAAAATAACATTCAAAGTTCCAACTGTAACACAGCAATAAGTCTTCCTACTAATTTATTCCCATTTACCACAGCATGTATCAATATAGACTGATAATTTCAACAAAGCACATGAAAAGATTTTTAATGATCTCTATTCTTGAATATACAAATTTTGATACTAAAAAATAAATGTATATGTCTTGATTTTAGTACTCATCACACAAATTACATATGATGATACTGACACACATAAATAATTAGTGATGACACATAAGTTCAAGTATGCCAGCAATAATATTGAAGCAGGTGTCAGATTATTATTCCCAAAGTTGAACAGCTGAATCTGTACCAATATTGAAGATGAAGGTGAATCGCTAAAGGTGTGTGTGTGTTTACATACATAAACAAACTTATGGATGTTTATTTTTATGAGAGAAATTTTATTTTATGAGAGAGATTTAAATCAAGGTGTTATCACCTCAAGACGTGAAAGGATCAACTACAAACACATTTTTCCCCTACTAAGAAAACATTTAACCAGAGGCTGTTCACTAAACATAGTAGGTGTTGACTAAATGGTTATCCAACAAATAGTGACTATATGGCCAAGAATTTAAATGTCTACTGAGGTAAACATCTACCCCAAATCAACTACTCAAACAGGTGGTATCATCAACTATGAAAACTGGTTAGTGTCTTGTAAATGCCCATGAGCTCTTATGACTATACAATTACACTATTTCCAAATGATTCCGGATATACATATTATCCACAAATCACAAAGATGATAAATGAAAGTTGATCTCATTACATTTTGAATTCCCCATAGTGCACTTTTTGCAGATTCAAAAAAAAAAATTCTGGTGGTACCATATTCAAGTTTCACAATATTCTTAAACCTAAAAAAAAATGTCACATCCTCAGTCCAAATGAGAAAAACCCACCCATTATAAAGCTTATGAGACTTTAAGAAAATGATAATAATAAACGCAAAATAAAGACTGTGAGATCTCCTCATTTTAAAACTTATAATTAAACATGCATTAATAGTGAAAGGACTAGCTGTTTACCATGCTTGTGAAATGTGCTACCTATTTAAGCCTATAAACACAGCCTTCCAAAAGATAACCATGGAAAACAATTATCACTTCTCTTTCAGGAATCATACATAATTCCAAAATCCAACAGAAAAAGTCAGTAAAAGGATATCATCACATTTCTTCTGATATTCTGTTAACAAATTGCTGCAACAAAGAAAAGAAGAATTAGGCTACTATTTTATCTAGAAAACATACTATGTTAAAATAATGTTTCAAATCATGCAAGGTAAGGCACCCTCTCTTCCTAGATTTCAGGAAACAAACTTATGCTAAGTTAATTATCACTTTAAACTCCTCAAAATCATTGCACTGATATATAAGCTTTGCATTTAAAATTCCTTTGATATAAGTAATATCTTGGTCTATAAATTTATAACTTATAAATTTAATTCAATGTCACACCATGACCATGAAACAATGTGAGGAAATCTGAGGTCCAGCCTGAAAGCTAATAAGGTGATGAAAACAGAAAACAGCTTTTAAAAAAGATCCAAGTAAAAAATAAATAACTTCCTACTAACCCATGGACCTGTTTTGAAAGCCTGTGAACCTCTAACAAAAGATTCAAGTCCCAGTCAGAGGCCAGGGGAAGTTTAATCATAATCAGCACCACATAGGACTCCAAGTAAGAAACTCCAATGCTGATTCCAGCCCCAGGAGACTAAAACCACCACCAGCTTCAGTCAGTATCTCAGGTTTACAAAGTTCTGCCAAACACATACAAACATACTTACTCCGTATTGATAATTTTTTGTTTCAAGGTAATTAATGCTTCGACATATTCATTTAAATTCTGAAAGAAAACAGCTACAATCAGTTGTTTGTGTTTTATCATATTAAGTGCTTTAAACGTAACTATTTTCTGTAACATGATTATAAAACATATTCATTGTTTAATGTATTACATAAACAGAAATATGTAAATCTGTTATTTATATTGTATATAAACACACACAATTTCAGCCCACACTACCTCTCTCTAAACGACTTCCTTCATCTGAACGGCAGTACTCTATAATAGCAAGGTAGTTGCTAAGATGTTTTACTGTGTGCACTTAGTCACAGTGCTCAACAAATATTAACTATTTTAGTTCACAGGTTAATTATCAATCATCAGTCTTTACCCTGCATTGTTTCTGAAATAATTTCAGATCACCTAAAAAGACACAAATTATTTTTAAAAAGTAAAAAATAAAAATAACATGGGGGGGATGAATAGAAATATTAAAACAGGGACAAGAATAACTGAAAATGAATTCCTTTTTAAGGATCTATACAGCTCTTTAGGGACCAACCACAAATTTGGCTTTAAATTACTGCTATTAACATGAAAGGGAAAACATCATTAGTTATATTGCTCAAATGTTCCTAAGACTTAAAAAAAAAACAAAAAACTGACTTTTTCTTTCCTTTAACTGACTTTTCCTTCAGTGTCTTTTTTCATCAGTAAATACTTCAGAAATAAGAACTTATTTTTAACCATAATCGCAATAGCCTTTTTACACACCCAACACAGCAATTCAACAGTGTCATCCAGAGAGTGCTCAATTTTCACTGAGTATCCCCAAAATGTCTTTTCCTAGATAATTCAAATGGTTGCTAGTTACAGGAGTATTTCCTTTTCTGACAGTATCTGCATTTTCACAGCTATACATGTAACATACCTGTTAAAACAGTCTACACATTAAAACATTATCAAGTAACAAGTGCAGGTTCTCTTGTCCAACCACCTGTCAAAATCACTCCGTTTTCTGAGTTAACTTTCAGAATGGCCACTGCACATATAAACACATTTTTGATTTGCAATGGAAGGATGGTCAGGTCTTTTTTCAGTCTTTATGCAATGAACAATACATGATGAAATTCCTTGACCACATCTTTGACAGAGGCTTATATTTTCTTTAGAATGAAGTCTAAGTAGCGGTATTGCTGGACCAGCAAATGTACTGAGATGTGTATTCTGACACTTAGCGGCAGGTCCCGCTCCAGAGATGCGCAGACACCCTGGCCTCCTGCTTCCAGTAACCTCACCAGCAAGCACTCTGCATTAGTGACAGTTGTAAGCTCTGGTCATCTTAGAGACAATTTTCATTATTATTTACTTGTGATATTGAGAAACCATCCTTCTCTTCTGACTACTCATATTTTTTCTTTTATTAATGGCCTGTCACCAATCACGCTTATTAGTGTGGTTGTACTTTTCTTATGAGCTGTGATATTTGAGGGATTGTAGTCTCTCATCAAATGTTAAAATATATTCATGTTTGTCAGTTGACTGTAAAATATACCCACATATGCATACAGAAGTTGTGAATACAGTTTTTTAAAACTTTGTCTCCTAAGACAAAATCTAGAAGGTTCTATACCACCCCAAGGTAAAAAAGTAATTCTTGTATGTTATTCTAATATTTTTATGTGTGGTTTTCTTTGTATTTATATTCTGTTTTGACATTTATTCTATGTATATTATGATACAGAGACTCTAATACTACAATAAATCAAAAAGGCAATAAATGAACTATTCAATTGTATGAGTGTATTTGGCTTCCCACAATCAAAGTTAATTTTGCATTATATACAAAATAAATTCTACCGAAGGCACAAAGTGACAAAGATTAATACTATCGGGCAGAGTACAGGATAATATCATTACAATTTCAAGGTAAACAAGGATTTTAAAAGTGATACACCAAAGCACAAGTTTGTTGATGAATTTCATGCTGTCAAAACTTTAAACTTCTTTGTACCTCACACCTTTAAAATATTTTTAAAAATTTAATTTTAAAAAGAAAAAAATTAAACTTCTATATGGCACTGGACACTATGTCAGTAGTAAAAAAATCAGTCTTGAAAGAATTATTTATAAAATATAAGAGACATCCATAATGTATAAACAACTCATACAAATCAATTATCAGAAGGCAAGTGTATCAGTAGGGGAAAAAAGTAAAGGACGTGAATTGTCAGTTCAGAGATTAACAAAGATCTTGTATCTGAAAAGCACTTTGGCAGCATATAAGAAAATCAAAATATATATCATAATAATTTTGTTTTTCTGTTTTTCCTCTATGGATGTTTTCTACAGCCTGGTCAGATTTTCTTCCAAGGTACCTTTTGTTCTTATCACTAGCATGAATGCTATCTTCATTGTGTCAGTTCCTATGGGTGTACAGATATATTACTAACTTTTGTTTGCTGACTACAGTAGATTTGTGCATTTTACAACAACGATGTCACATATGAACACAGATATAAAAGAACAAAATAAAATATTTGCACCAGCAGTGTTAAATCATTTATCTATAGATTTTCTTGGACGTTCCATGTGAAAAGTTGTATCATCCACTGATAATGCGAGCTATATCCTTCCTTCACTCATGCTTACAGACTTCATTTGTTTGCCCTTTCCTGACTAAGGCCTCACCACAGTGTTGAACAGTAAGGGTAATAACAGGTAGCCTGTCCTAAATTGGAAGTAATTAATTAAGTTTGCTCTGCTCCAGGGTTTCAGCTGATAACCTTTAACCATGCTATGAAATGTCCACACAGTTTGCTAAAAGACTGTATTATGTATGAGTATTAAACTTTATAGAATAAATTTCTGCATTTATTTAGTTTACATGTTTAGTTTTCTCCTTTTGTTTTTTAATTACAGTGGACTCTACAGTAAATTTTCTAATGTTAGCACAGTCCTGAATTCCTGGGAATAAAAATAATTGAATACTATGTTAACACTATTTATTTAAACCACTGCTGGTTCTCCATCTATGTTCATGAATGATATGTCT